GCCGCAGTCATTGTAGGGACAACAGGTACTCAAGGCGATAGCACGTGCATCTCTTGCACTGCTTTCCTTTTAACAGAAGGATGATAAAATGAGAAGCAGTGAACTATTATGGGGGGGAGGGGGAACGACATTTCAGCTGCGATCACATCTAGCCCAATGTTGTTTTTGAACTCTGCTTGCGTGCAGCATTTTTTTAAGGTTGTAGATGGTGAATTTTCTTTCATGCAATCACAGCCAGCAATAAGTTGCTGGCGATACCTCATTCTTGAAACCTTGACCATTTAAGGTTTGTTTAATACCATTACTTTAAAAAGCTCGGAGGCCCGTGGAAAGAGGAGCTAAGTTGCTAACAACCTTTTTAAAAACAAAGCGCCTCCATCCTCCGCCTTCAGCGCGCAGTCCCACTTACTGTGCAATCACGTCCCTTCCTTTGATGATCTGTTTGATCGCCCTCTGCTGAATAGCGGATGGTTTCTCAAAACCTGGAATGTTGTTTTAAAGAGAGACACCTTACAGCGCTGTCCGTGTTTCACAAACCCAAGAGGCGCAGCGGCGAGGGGGCCACGCGCCCGGCGGCTGCTGACGGGAAGGGGCAACGTTCAGCCCAGCGACCTGCCGCGCCGAGCAGACACGTGCCCGGTGAAAGCGGCTTAACGCCAGCCCGGCCGGCGGCGGCGGCGAGCCGAGCCCGCGCGAGGGGGAGCCGGCCCCGGCCCCGGCCGCACTACGCCCGTTGTCACGGAGCCCGGGCCAGCGAGCGCCGCGCCGCGCCGCGCCCGCCGGGGAACCGGCCCGGAGCGGCGCCGCCGAGCCGCCGACACGCTCCCGGCGCCCACGCTGGGCCCCATTTTGTGCGCCGGGAGCGCGCACGCCGGGAGCGCGCGAAAGGGCGGGAGCGCGGCCAGAGGCGGGCGGCGGCCACGCGCGCGGAGCCCCGGGGACCCCCCCCCCACAGCGGGGACCGGCAAGGGAGAGCCAGGCCCGCGGGGCCCTGGGGGAGCGCCTCGCCTCGCCCGGCCCGGCCCCCTCGGCCCCCCGGCCCCGGCCCCGGCCCCGGCCCCGGCCCCGGCCCGCACCGTAGGCGTAGATGCCGCGCAGCAGGTCCTCGCGCAGCCCCATGGTGTCGAAGGTGGGGGTCACGTCCACCTCCTCGCTGGTCTCGAACTCCACCTTGGTCATGTCCTCCTCCTTCAGCAGCCGCTTGCGGGCCGAGCCCGCCGCGCCTGCCGCGCCCGACATGGCCGCCCCGGCTCCGCGACTCCGGCCGCGCCGCCACACGATCGCCGCGCGATGCGCCTGCGCCGCGTCAGCTCCGCGCGCCGCCCCACGTGACAGGGGAGCGCGCGCCTGGCTCCGCAACGGGCCCTTCCCCCCGCCAACCTGCGGGGCTAGCTCCTCCCCTCCGGGGCTGCCCTGCCCTGACGCCACGGGCCTGGCTCCTCCCCTCACGTAGGGCTGGCTCCGCCCCCACCCTGCTGCTAGGGCCGCCCCTCCTCTACCCCAGGGGGCTGGCTCCGCCCCCACCCTGCTGCTAGGGCCGCCCCTCCTCTACCCCAGGGGGCTGGCTCCGCCCCCACTCTGCTGCTAGGGCCGCCCCCCTCTACCCCAGGGGGCTGGCTCCGCCCCCACTCTGCTGCTAGGGCCGCCCCTCCTCTACCCCAGGGGGCTGGCTCCGCCCCCACTCTGCTGCTAGGGCCGCCCCTCCTCTACCCCAGGGGCTGGCTCCGCCCCCACCCTGCTGCTAGGGCCGCCCCCCCTCTACCCCAGGGGGCTGGCTCCGCCCCCACTCTACTGCTAGGGCCGCCCCTCCTCTACCCCAGGGGGCTGGCTCCGCCCCCACCCTGCTGCTAGGGCCGCCCCTCCTCTACCCCAGGGGGCTGGCTCCGCCCCCACCCTGCTGCTAGGGCCGCCCCTCCTCTACCCCAGGGGGCTGGCTCCGCCCCCACCCTGCTGCTAGGGCCGCCCCTCCTCTACCCCAGGGGGCTGGCTCTTTCCCCCGCTATGGGGCTGAGGCTCCCGCGTTGCAGCCCTGTGCATTGCTGTGCACTCCCCACTCGCAGCATGCATGCCCCTAACCAGGGGCTCTGAGTCCCTGCGGTTGCCTCAGGCATGTGGCCTGAGTGCAAGGAACCCCTGGCCCCCCTCCCTCTCTCACTGCTGCCCCGTGGGGGGCTCTGCGGCTGGCACAGCGGCAGTCACTGCTGTACAGTGCCTGTTGTGGGGTGCAGGCTGCTATTTCTAACTGTAGTGCTTGTCACGGAGATGCTCTAAGCTGATGGGCTCTCCCATCATCTTAATAACGCCTGTCTCTGGAGAGGCGATAGCTATGTCGTGAGGAGAAGCTCTCCTGCTGACGTAGTGCTGTCTACACTCGTGCTTACACCCCTGAGTGACATCAATTACACTGAAGTAACCTATAGTGTAGACAAGGTCTTTCTCTTTTTCCCCAAGAGGTGACCCATCTAATTTCCCTACTGCATGCCATCTGCACAATAGATCCAGTTATACAGTCAGAGCTGATTTGCTCAGAATTTATGGGACATCCAAACATGAATAAAGAGAGGTTCCGATAATTGGAAGAACTACTAAGGCCTTGATCTTGCAAATACAAATCACTATGTTAACTCAGTAGGACGAATTTATGCCTGGATTGATTTATCAGCCTAAATATTTGCAGGCTTGGAGTTTTAGTGATTCACAGCAAATAACACAACTGTACCTAGCATCTCTATAGTCAAAGGACTGCTCAGATCCTATGTGGGTGGGTGGATAGGAATGATCATCGCCCCATTTTACTGATATGAACATAAAAACAGCCATACTGGGTCAGACCAGTGGTCCATCTATCCCAGTAGCCTGTCTTCCTGCGCTTGCCAACTCTCCAGGATTGTCCTGGAGTCCCAGCAATTAAAGATGACTCTTCAATTAAAGATTATGTCATATAATGAAACCTCCAGGAATACGTGCAACCAAAATTGGCAACCCCGGGCCAATGCTGGATACTTCAGAGGGAATGAACAGAACAGGGCAATTATCAAGTGATCCATCCTCTGTCATCCAGTCCCAGCATCTGGCAGTCAGAGGCTTACACTCAGAGCATGGGAGTTGCATCCCTGACTATCTTGGCTAATAGCCATCGGGGCAACTATCCTCTAGGAACTTATCTAAATTCTTTTTTGAATCCAGTTATAGTTTTGGCCTTCACAACATCCCCTGGCAATGAGTTCCACACATTGACTGTGTGTTGTGTAAATAAATATTTCCCTATGTTTGTTTTAATGGGGAACCTGGAATGGAAAAGTGAAGGCTACATAGTAATTCAGTGGCAAGCTCCAAGGTAAAGGCCTGCTCTACTCTACAGTAAGGGCTTGTCTACACTTGAAATGCTAGAGCAGCACAGCTGCAGCACCCCAGTGTAGACACTCAGCTCTGATCTACACTAAAAGTTTAGGCCAACCCCAACATCACTCAGGGATGTGAAAAATCCAGAGCCTTGAGCAATGCAGTTAAGCTGACCCCTGGGGCACACAGTAATTAGTTGACAGAAGATTCTCCTGTTGTCATAGGTAACCCACCTCCCCAAGAGGTAGTAGCTAGGTTGATGGATTTCTTGTGCTGATAGTTTTCTTGATGTACTGAGATATTGCATCCATTTCTTATTCATCATAGCAAAATATCACACTGAATATCACTGCTACTCTATATAACTCATTTTAAATTGGTATCCTCCCAGAGGATACTTAGGTGTGTGGATTTTTCACATGCCTGAGCTACCTAGTTTGGTTGACTTAACTTTTGAGTGTAAACCTGGTCTGAGTGCTCCTTGAACTCAGGAGTGACTGAGGCCATGTCTACACTACAAAATTAAGTCGACCTAACTTACGTTGGCATACAGCCACCACTGTAACTACATCGCTTGTGCGTGTCTACACTTTGTTCTTTGTGTCAGTAGTGCATATCCTCCCCAGGAACGCTCGTATCGATTGTATTGTCATTGTGAGACAGCTCCTGAAAGCCACGAACAGTCATTGACATGAGCAACAGTCAGTGTCTGGACTGATACTGCATCGACCAAATCCATTGACCTTGACGGCTGGTGTAGGTGGAGTTATTAAGTTGGGTAGTGGGGCAGTCACATCAGGGGGAGCAAAATTTAAGGTCAGGTTTACACTACCACTTACTTTGGTATAACTTACGTCACTCAGGGGTGTGACTAAGCTACGCACCGAGTGACGCAAGTTACACCGACCTAAGTGCCGGTATGCACAGCACTATGTCGGTGGGAGAGCTTCTCCTGCCGACACAGCTACTGCCTGTCCGGGATGTGGATTTGTTATGTCAGTGGGCGTGCTCTCTCCCCTGGCAGCATAGAGCGTCTTCACCAGAGACGACGCTACAGTGGCCCAGAGGCAGTGCTTCTCGTGTAGACTAGCCCTAGGTGTAAACACTTCTGGAGCCGGCAGGAGGCATAAGCAGACTAAGCAACTGCTTAGGGCCCACAGCAGCTCAAGCCCCACACCCGCCCCATTAATTATTAGTATAGCCGGGGGGGGGGGGGAAATTCCTGCTTAGGGCCCCTGGCAGCTCACGCCCCCCCCCCCATTAATTATTAGTATAGCTGGGGGGGATATTCCTGCTCAGGGCCCACAGCAGCTCATTCCCCACCCATTAATTATTAGTGTGTGGGGGGATATTCCTGCTCAGGCCCCCAGGGCCCCCCCATTAATTATTAGTGTAGCGGGGGGGATATTCCTGCTCAGGCCCCCAGGGCCCCCCCATTAATTATTAGTGTAGCGGGGGGGATATTCCTGCTCAGGCCCCCAGGGCCCCCCCATTAATGATTAGTGTGGGGGGATATTCCTGCTCAGGCCCCAGCCCCTGGCTGCGGAGAGAAGCCGCCCGGCGAGGCCCAGCCCCGCGGCCCAGGCCGGGCCCAGCTCCCGCCAGGCGGAACAAAGGCCGGGGCCGGCGTGCGCCGCTCCCCCGCCCCAGGCCTCCCGGGCGCCCCGCACAGCTGCCGCCGCCCGCAGCGGGACCGGCGGGGCGCGGAGCCCCGCGGGCTCGGGCCGGGGACGCAGGAGGCGAGTCCCGGCGCCCCGGGCTCCCTCCAGCGGGCACCGGCCGGCGCGGAGCCGGGTCCTGAGGGGGCCCGCTGCGAAACCCGCCTCCCCGGTAAGGCTTGTGCCCGGGAACCGCCGGCCTGGGCCCGCCGCGGCGACCCTCCCTCCCGCAGGCCCCGAGAAGCCGGGGGCGCCAGGGGCCCGGCCGCTGCCCGGCGGGCGCCCAGAGGCCCCGGCGATGGGCGGCGGCCGAGCGAGGTGGATGGGCGCAGCGCTGCCGGCCGCGAAGGTTTGTCCCGGAGCCCCCCGGGCTGGGAGAGGGGCCGGGCCGCGTCCCCAGCCCCCGCCCGGCACTCCCGCTCCGGGACCTTTGGGAGCTTGCTGCGGCGGGGCCGGGGAGGCTGGTTCTGTGCGGGGGCCGGGGCTGCGCCCTGCGGTTTGGCGGCCACGGGCCGGTTCAAGCCTCCCGCTCTCCGCCCTGGCGCCTTCGGCGTGCGGCGGGCTCTCCCCCCGGGATACGAGCAGCCCGAGGGCGGGTCGTGCCCGCGCTCCGGGAGCCCTGGCCCCGGGGAACCTGGCTGCGGACGCCGGGCCCTGCTCCTTGATCCGTGCTCGGGGCTCCCTTCGGAGGCAGGAACGCGGCTGCTCCATTCCGGCTTCCTGCCCCAGGCCCTGCCTGGAGGGAAGGGCTCTTAGAGCCCGCAAGGACGTTCACTGGCTATCGACTTGTCCCCATAACACAAGAACTAGGGGCCACCCAATGAAATGAATGGGGCAGCAGGTTTAAAACAAACAAAAGGAAGTTCTTCTTCACTCAGCGCACAGTCCACCTGTGGAACTCCTTGCCTGGGGAGGTTGTGAAGGCGAGGACTAGAACGGGGTTTTAAAAGAGAACTGGATAAATTCATGGAGGTTAAGTCCATGAATGGCTATTTGCCAGGTTGGGTAAGGAATGGTGTCCCTGGCCTCTGTTTGTCTGAGGGTGGAGATGGATGGCGGGAGAGAGATCACTTGACATGCCTTGCAGTGCGAAGCGGTAATGTGTATGGTGAAAGGAAATGATCTACTGCTGAGATTGCTTGTCCGCTCGATTCCTTTGTGAACTGTGTCTCAACAGGCTCAAAAATGATGAGTGTGTGTGTGTGGGAGGGGACACTCCAGTTCCAACACCATTACACGAGGTACGCTGGGCCTCTGTACACTAGGAAGCTCACCCGCTGCTGATAAATGAAATCAGCAGCAGGTCCCTGAGAATCAGAAACAAAAATGGCTTAACTGTCAGCAACACTTGCTAACAGTAGGTCACTTCACCAATGTGTGGAGACCCTAAATTACCTGGGTTTTGTCAGTTTAAATTTTTCCCTTTTCTTCCTTCTATTTGACTATTTTGCACTGAATTTCTTTGTAGCCTCATCTCGGGGTCACTCCCATTGACACAATATTGGCTCCTTTGTTCCCACTTCTAGCTCCGTAGTTGCTATTGCCTCTGCATAAAAACTTCAGTGGGAGGAGAGGGGGAGTGTGTGTCTGTTTGGAAAACAGTCCATGTGAAGGACTAGATAGATGCCAGGAGAATTCCAGAGATTTCAAGGTTGGTAGGGCCAAAACAGTCCGTGCTCATTTGGTTTCTTTTAATCCCACTGCAGGCGCAGACTTTAGGGTTTGCACTGGTTTATGTGGTGGGTGTTTGTTTGCCTTTTTTGCAGATAAATGTACACAGCTGATTAGTTAGTCTCTAAGGTGCCACAAGTACTCCTTTTCTTTTTGCGAATACAGACTAACACGGCTGTTACTCTGACAGCTGATTATGAGTATCCTGGGCAGTCTGGCTACCCTCTTCTCACATCTAGCAGGTGAAAGGAGGACACCTCTACTTGTCTGTAGGGACAGGAGCTGAATGAGATTGAAACGGCAGAACTATGGAAGTTTCCCTGGCTCCCATGACAAATCTGTTTTCCCTTAGTGTGAGTTTAGAGCTCATTAAGGCCTGGATTGTGCCACCCTTGCACATACTGAGTAATGCTTTTCTCTGTGAATAATCTGATTCCTATGAGGCTGCTCGCAGAATAAACTACTAAATGTGAGGAGACAGTGCAGAATCAACATAAATGGAAACCGAAGTCCTTGATTTATACACGGAACAGGGACAGCCTGGACAACACCAATGTGTCATGCAACCCTTGTGTTGTTGTAATTGTCTCCCTGTGCCCTGGTGCTCCCTGTTTGTATTAGCCTCTTGTCTGTCATTTCATACTTAGACTGTCATCGTTTGGGTGTAGCGACAGGCTCTATTGTGAGTGTTGTGCGCCTAGAACCATGTGGCTGGGTCATCTAGAGCAGTGGTTTTCAAACTTGTTTTCTGATGACCTAGTTTGAAGAAAATTGTTGATGCCCGTGACCCAACGGAGCTGGGGATGAGGGGTTTGGGGTGTGGGAGGGGCCCAGGGCTGGGGCAGAGAGTTGGGGTGAGGGCTGTGGGGTGGGGTTGGGGCAGGGGGTTGGGGTGTGGGAGGGGATCAGGGCTCTGGGCTGGGGGAGTAGGCTCTGGGGTGGGGCCGGGGATGAGGGCTTTGGGGTGTAGGAGAGGCACCAGGTTGGGGCAGGGGTTGGGGTGCGGGCTTACCTGCGGCAGCTCCCGGTCAGCAGTGCAGTGTGGGTGCTAAGGCAGGCTTCCTGCCTGTCCTGGCACCATGGACCATGCTGCGCCCTGGAAGTGGCCAGCAGCAGGTCCAGCTCCTAGGCGGAGGTATGCAAGCGGCTCTGCACAGCTCTTGCTGGCAGGCACCGCCCCTCCCCCTAGCTCCCATTGGCTGGGAACTGGCCAATGGGAGTGCGGAGCTGGCGCTCGGGGTGGGGGCAGCGCAAAGAGCCCCATGGCCCCCCCCGCCTAGGAGCCAGACCTGCTGCTGGCTGCTTCCGGGGTGCAACACGGTGTTGGAACAGGTAGGGACTAGCCTGCCTTAGCCAGGCAGCACCACTGACGGGACTTTTAATGTCCCAGTTGGCAGCGCTAACTAGAGCCGCTGTGACCCAGAGCCTTACATTTTGCGATCCAGGACTGGGTTGCTACCCACAGTTTGAAAACCACTGATCTAGGACCTACAGCAGTACAGTATTTGGATGTGGCCAGTTGCCACGTGGAAGCACTTTACTCATTTGCTGTTCCCCTGTCTCTTACTTGGTGGCTGTTTGATTTTGTCTAGTTGTTTTGTGTCTGTAGAACACAACACACAGAGGGCATTGCCAGAGGCGCATGGCTAATGACAATAATACAGCACAAGCTTTCCCCTGCTGCCCTGCCTCAGCCCTGTTTTGGAAGGATCACCTTAGGGCGTGATGATAGAATAATTTGGTCCCGTTCAGTTCTTGGCATCCTTGCAGAGATTACTCATGTTGTAGTCGTGGTGGGGTTTGTGCTGCACACATCTGTTTAGCAGGCTTCGGACTAAGACCACCTGTTCATTTCACCCAGGCCACCACACTGCCACTGGCCTGTAATAACTTTCGTTGTCTTTCAAACTGGTCAAAATAAAACTGGTGACACAGGTAAAAGACTCCCTGGACCATGGCATATCACATCACCAATATCCTGAGCTGTTCAGTAGACAGCTTGAGGACCTTGCCTTGAATTTGGACGGCTTCTTTTATAGGGCTTATTCTGGAGATATTTTATTTGTCTTTCCAAAGCCTGCAAAATGTGCCAGTTTCCTTCTTGCTTATTTTCTTCTCAAGTGTCTCTCTGTCTCTGTCTCTCTCATATTTAATTCCAGTTGCCATGAGAAGTGGAAGCCCTTGGATCTCCTCCACCATATGTTGGTGGGACAGATTGCTATTACACTGGTAGGTTGACTCAAAGCTACAATGGCATTGCATTCAGCAATCTGTGTAAGTTTCCCCATGACTTGTAGCTATGAACTATAATGTAACTCATTTCAGAGTAGCAGCCCTGTTAGTCTGTATTCGCAAAAAGACAAGGAGTACTTGTGGCACCTTAGAGACTAACCAATTTATTTGAGCATAAGCTTTCGTGAGCTACAGCTCACTTCAACACGAAAGCTCATGCTCAAATAAATTGGTTAGTCTCTAAGGTGCCACAAGTACTCCTTTTCTTTTAATGTAACTCATGAAACTGTCTACTTGTGTCACTGATGTTCCTGTGTGTCTTGTTGTTACATGTGCTTTCAGAATAACTGAACTAGGAAATTGATCAGAGATCCAAAAATAATCTGTGTTAGCCTCTAAGCTTGGATTCTCAAATGCTGTTACGCTAATGAGCTCTTGGCTGTTAAATTAACCGCTCCAGTATCAGCAAGCTGATAAAGCTAATGTCAGACTTGGTTGCTGGATCATTCTCAAACAACAACCCAACATATTAATTTTGGGGGGAATGACTTTTTTTTTTATATGTGTAACACCCTGTCCAAATGGTATTGGCATTTTTTAGACTCTTCATTCATACTTCTCTTAATGTGTGTTTAAATGTGCTGAATAAACAGGAATGTTGGAAGATTTGGATTTCTTTTGCCTCTGGCTAAAATATTTTACAGATCAATCCTGACCTATTTTTTAGTGGTGACTGACGTTTAACGTAGCAAGTAAATTAGACAGACTGCTATCCCTTTTCTTTTTCACTGCAGTCTTCAAGACTTGAGCTAAAGATTACGTATTGATCTTAAACCAAGATTTTAAAAAAGGGTGCTTAAAATTAAGCTCATAAATCCATATATAGTCACCTAACTAAGTAACTGTTTTTCAAAAGTGCCAAGCACCCAGAAGCTACATACTAAGCTTGCATTGGGGTCCTATTTATGGAGAAAGTTACTGAGCAGGAATATGGGGAGATGTTTGGTAGGAGGCTCCAAAATATCTGAAATTAACACCATTATGTTTAAAAAATAATACAAAGTAATACTGCCTGTTTAAAAAACAGTGGCCATCACTGGGGAATAAACACGTAGTGCTGTGGTTCACGGCGAGGTGGGGGAATGCACAGACTGTCTCTTAGCTCTGTTTATTTTCACTTTTACAGATTTTTGTATATGATTATTTTTTACCAAAAAATGTGTTTTAGGAAACTTCCTGCAAACACATCCCACCAGTAGTGGGTTTGTGGGTTAGATCTCCTTAGTCAGGGCTGAAATCGCAGTTGCAACAGCAGTTTCTGAACTTGCAATTTCTTGCTGCAATTGCAAATTTTTATGTGAAAGAAAACAGATGGCTCTAATAGAAAAGGCTTAATTTTCATAAGTGAAACGTGATTTTTTGGCTGCCTAACTTGAGACCCCTTAGAAGGCACCTGATAATTGAGGCATCCAAAATCACAAGTCTCCATTTAATCAGATCACATGGTGCTTTGCAGCATTTGGTTTAGCTTATACCTGCTTCTTGAACAATAGCCAAGTTTACATTGAAAGTTCATAGGCCTGACTTTTGTGGAAGAAAATGAACTCCGCTCTCAGGTTGGAAGCCACTAAATCAGAGACAGGTTTATTCAAGCAATTGAAAGGGAAGAATACAGCTGGCAGAGAGCATCTCTGCCTCAAGTTCTCCAAAGTACAAGCAAAATCACACAAGCATTTATACCTCATTGTGACGTGCATTAATTAAAAACATCTGCATTTTATTTAGGCTATTTACTATCTAATGCAGTATTTTCTCACTTTCTCTTCTCAAAACATCGTTATCTCAAGGCTAGGTCACACTGACTATTCTGCTGTTTCCCACTCTCTTTTGACGTGAGTCCTGCTTCTACAGGTCTCGCGATATTAGGCTAAGACTTAGCTCAACAGTTGCTCTGTCTCTGACACTTAAATGGCTGCACTTAAACCCTCTCTTTCTTTCCCTGCTTCCATACTCCCCCCTTTGTGCTTCCTTTAGAACAACTAACATTCTTAAACCTCCAATTGCATCAAGCCTTGTATTTCTGTTTCTAGCTCAGGAGGATCAGAATCAGCCCTATAAATCTTAACTGGATAAAACGATCATGCATGGTTAGTATGAACATGAGAAGCATTTTTTTTAGTCCATCCCTTACAACAATAACATAATCCTAGACTAAACAAAAGCAATACACACATTAATGTCTCCATTGTAATAATATGCTGGGGTTGTTTCTTTGCCTTAGTTACATAGCACATTACATCATAATTAGTACACAAAGTAGACACTCTATAAGCTGTATGAAAAGCACATTTTTCAATTTGATATATATTCTGAAGCACATGGATTTGATCCTGTAAGTCAGAAATTTTCCGAACCTCTGGTAGGAGTGAGTGTAAATTTTGAAACCGGTCGGGTATCAAAGTGGTTCAATTAAAAGAAATCTGATACCCAAGGTCCAATTGTAGGGTTTTGTCTGCAGGCCAAGAAATAATGTGATTTCCTGTGGCCATAGTGGGATTAAAATGTAAGTCTTGCAAAGTGGTGGCCTTAACATATACACAACTATCATTAGCTTGGAAAAGTAACTGTCCTGTCAGGGTAGTTCCTTGTCCCATACCTTCCCAACAATCTTTGTCAAATACTGTGACAATTTCCCCTTGCTTCAATTTTCTTAGGCACTGAAACTGCGGGGGTTTAAAGGGCCACAATATCCACTGATTCCCTATTCCAATCCAAATATCGGGTGTTATTCCAGGAGCACTAACAACAAATTGGCTAGGCATACCATGTGGTCTAATCTCTCAGACGTCACGGTGAATAATCCAGTCCCACATGCATCCTCCCCATGGACCTGGAAGGATTCGGTATGGAGGAGCCCACACCCCTCCTACTGGCCCATATGCTTGGAAGGAGCACTGTGAGTACTTGCAACTCCATCCTGAAAATCTCCAAGTACGTCTCCATGGCCACAAATCAGATGGTACTCCTGAAGCACTAGTAAGGGCAGTGGGCCAAGCCTGATGCTCAAGATCACTCCGAATGGCCATCAGCTGGTCATTCAGGAAATCCCGAATCTCTGAACATGCTAGATCCCACTGCAATTCCTTTCCTGCCTCAGTGATATTCAATACCATTCCCGTCAACAGCTCCAGGGTCATCGAACTAAGGGTGGAAATAACATGTAATTCACCAACTCCAGCTTGCACCTGGGTCAGCTGTGCTCCAGTAATAAGACCAGTGGCTTTCTCTAGTTGTCCTAATTTCTCCTCATGTTGTTGGCCCTTAAGAATATTCCAAATTGCTGCTGCACTATTTGCACCATCCCATAAGTGACCAGCTAAGCCTCTTTTCTTCCAAGAGGAGACCCGTGCTCTTTGCTGTTCTAGGTGGATAGCAGCTCCCTTGGAACAATTGGGATACGTGGAAGTAATTTGAAAGCTGGATAGGGGCAGGGTGAATGTCACAGTCCCTAATGTGGCATTAATTATGGTTATTCGATGTCCTAGTACATCTCTTTCGGGGATAGCATTATAGCACATCTGTTGTTTAACTATTTTCAAATACTTTTGAGAGGCATTAACATCAATAGCATAAGAAGGTATATTGTAAGATGGTACAGGTTAAATTGCTAGTTACTGGGATCATTTCAGTACAGGTAAACTTTCCAGTGGCAGAACATACTTTCTGAGTATGAGCCTGGTTATTTGCTAATTGGGTAACTAAATAACAACAAGGGCCCCTTTCTCCCAATACACTACAAACCCCTGGAATGGCCATCATATCAACCCCTTCATAAAACCCATGTATCTCCAATTCAGATTCCCTAGAGTCATTTGCGGTAATGTCATATACTTCTATTTCTGCTGATCCATTTGTTCTCCAGTCAGTTGTTTGCTCATATGACATGTCCTGAACCTTAAAAAATGAATTTTCCAAACAATACTTAAATAAATCACCAGCATGTGAAGGCCTTGGCCATTGGGTTTCATCCAAATAGATAGTATTGTCTATGTCTGGGTATGTTACGGGGTGGGAATGGCCGTGAAAATGGAGGTAATGGCAGGGTAGTGGTTGTGGCAATAAGGCGTTGGTTTAATATTCTTCATCTGAAATCCAATTAGGGAGAATAGTACATTTCCAGGGTACTTGTCCAGTAGCGCACTGTGCAGCTGATGGAATAAACCCCAAAATCCAGTGAACACCACACTCCCAAGACTGGTCACAGTTTCCTCCCTGCCAGTCTACAATCCTCCGTTTCTTCCACCAGGGCCAGTTCTTAATGTCCTTTGTAGTCAGGAACTCCTGGGCCTTGGCAGGTTCGGCGGAGTGAGTATTTCTTTTTTCTTCTTTCCTGGAACAGTCGTGGTCCAGCATCATACAGGGGAAAGGTTACCAGCACGTCACCCTGTAGTGCTGTGGTTTCTGTAGCAAATGCTGACAACACAATGATTTCATCAGCGGACAAGGGAGAGGTTACTAGCACTTCACCTTGTCCTTTTCTCCTGCAGTTCAGGGGGAGGAACAGAAGTAGAAACAAGCTGATCAGCAGTTGATGTAGAATCATCTCGAGGTGGAGGGGTCTTTTTGTAGTGAGAAGCATGGGCCCAGGCAGTCAGTCCTTGGCACTTCACAGCGTGTTGGTAGTCAGCAGGACTTGGTAAGGGCCTTTCCAGCATGGAGCCAGAGCATTCTTTCACTGGTGGACCTTTACGTAGACCCAATCTCCTGATTCCAAGGAGTGGCAAGGCTGTTCAGGGTCCTTGGGTAATGCTGCTTTCACCTGTGAGTAAAAAGACTTAACACATTTCATTAGTGTCTGGCAGTAATTAAGCATCATATCATCCATCAAATGAATGTCCATCTGAGCAAGGGCCAGTGGGGGCCCTACTGGAAGTCACATCGGGTGCCCTGTCAAAATCTCATGTGGGCTGAGTCCAGTCTTTCGGTTGGGAGTGGCCCTCATGCTCATCAATGCTAATGGCAAGGCATCTGGCCATTTGAGGTTTGTCTCTGCACAAATCTTAGCCAGTTTGTTTTTCAGAATCCCATTGTGACGTTCCACTGTCCCAGCAGATTGTGGATGGTGAGGGCAGTGGAGGTTGTGTTGAATCTGCAAGGCTGCACATAATTCTTTTACAATCTGTCCAGTAAAATGAGTGCCACGGTCACTGTTGATACAAACAGGTATACCAAACCTTGGTACAAAGCCTTTGAGCAAAATTTTCACAACAGACTTGGCATCTGCCCTCCGGCAGGAGAAGGCCTCAACCCAGCTTGAAAAAACATAAACTAATACGAATACATATTCATAATTACAACATTTAGACATTTGAATAAAATCAATCTGAATATTTACAAACGGTCCCCACGGAGCGGGATGGGCTGCTTGTCTGGTTTTGACAGCTTTACCAACATTGTGTTGCTGGCAGATTGAACATTGTTGGCAGTAGTGCTGGGACACAGAAGGAAAACCTGGAGCACACCAATCGCGTCCCCCTGCAACAAGCGTCTCCCCACACGATATCCCATGATGCAGGCGAGCAAGATAGGGCAAAAGCATCTGTGGTGCAACCAGCCAGCCATCCTGGAAGCACCAAGATTGGTCAGGGTGTAAAGTGCACCCAGCAACACTCCAAGAACGTTTTTCGGTCTCTGGCGCCATCTCCTGGATCCTAGCAAGGTCGTTGAGGGAAGCCCGTGGAGGTTGCTCGACTAAGGCAAAAATAAAAGCAGCCTGAGGGTCAGAAAGGGCCGCATCCTTGGCTGCTGAATCAGCCGAAGCATTTCCACGAGTAACTTCATCACGAGGGGGTTGATGAGCCAGGCGTTTTACAATAGCAACAGCTTTGGGCAACAAAAGAGCATCCAAAAGAGCAGATACATACTGACTATTCTTAATGGGGGAACCAGAGGAGGTAAGGAAACCTCTGTGTTTCCAAAGTACACCATAATTATGAGTCACTCCAAAAGCATAGTGAGAGTCAGTTTAAATAGTTTCAGAGTAACAGCCGTGTTAGTCTGTATTCGCAAAAAGAAAAGGAGGACTTGTGGCACCTTAGAGACTAACCAATTTATTTGAGCATAAGCTTTCATGATCTACAGCTCACTTCATCGGATGCATACTGTAGCTGTAGCTCACAAAAGCTTATGCTCAAATAAATTGGTTAGTCTCTAAGGTGCCACAAGTACTCCTTTTCTTTTAGTTTAAATAGTAACGGTTGATCCTGTGCCAGAATACATGCTCATGTCAAGGCCACGAGCTTGGCCACCTGAGCTGAAAAGACAGAGGGAAGGAAAGCACTTTCAATAACAGAATATAAAGAACAGACAGCATAACCAGCAACCAATTTTCCCTCAGAATTTCACAAAACAAGAACCATCTACAAAATAAATAAGGTCGGGATTCTGCAAAGGCACATTGGTAAGATCTTCCGTTGGGCAGGTAAGAAGAGAATTAACAGACACACAATCATGAGGCTCTCCATCCTGAGGCCCTGGTAACAGGGAAGCGGGATTCAGAATGGGGCAATGAGCCAAAGTAAAATGTGAGACGAAGATAAAGGAATAAGCTCATATTTGGTAAGTTGAGAAGTAGACAAATGCTGTGTCTTAAATTTTAGCAGAAGATAGAAATAGAAAGAGGTTTGGTAACAGGATGGGGAACAGGTTTATTTGAGATACCAACTGCATTAACAGAAGAAGATGACAAGGGAACAGAGGAAAACTCAGCAGACCGTAAAGCAGATCTGCTAGCACCTGTATCTACAAGGCAAGCTACAGATTGTCCTGCAATTTCACAGTTTATGTACGGCCCTCTTGATTGATAGGAAGCAAAGGATTCATGATGCAGTTCCGTTCCCTCAGGCTGTCCTAATAAGGATTATTTTGTGGAACAAAGGTAGGCGCATCAGGGTTTGGGAAAGGGAGTGGGGGGTTCAGAGGAGGTCGGTTCGGGCATTCGTTTCTCTAATGCCCCTTCTGGCCACAGAAGTGGCATGCGGTGTTCCCTGACAGGGGAAGATATGAGGGACCTCTCAGTCTCCCTCTTCCTCGTCCTCGCCCACCCCTCAGTACCCCACGGCCTCTAAGCTGATAAATTCGCAGCTGTAGGGCCAAAAGTTCTGTTTCCATGTTTTCCTTTTTCTGTTCTATACAGGCAGTACAGTGATTGGCAACTGTCACCAATTCAGAAAGAGGCTTAGTTTGCCAGCTGATGCAGTTTAATTTTAACTGTTGCTGAACCTTTGGCAAGAGTCCCTGAACAAAAACAGCCCCTACTGCTTCTTTAGCATTGCTAGCTGGTTGACTGATCCCGGAATGTTGTTCAAACACTTTTGTCAGTCTGTCTAAATAGTCAGCGGGGGACTCGCCCTTGTTCTGTTTACAGTTGTTAATCTTTGTCCAGTCTGTCTTCCTAGGACAAATTTCTGGAATGGCAGCCACTAGATTTTCCCTAGCTTGAGTCAAAGTAGCACCCTGTCCGGGATCGGTAGAGGGCCACTGGGCCTTAGCAAGTAGTCGCTGTTGTACTTCAGATGGTATAACTACTTGCAAAAGTTGGTTAATGTCAGCCCATGATGGATTATAACACTGAATCACTGTCTGGAGTTCCTTTTTAAATTTCTCTGGCTCTTCTGTAATATTAGGGAACTCCTTAACCAGATTTCTAAGATCCCCCGGTGTCCAAGGGGCATGCACTGTGACCAAATTATCTCCTACTGCGGCTGGAGATTGGGGAAGGGGAGTCAAGTGGGGCACTGGTAGAATCAGGAACAGCCCCCGACCCTTGTAGTGGACAGGTTTCCTCTGCAGCAGACACATTTGCTGGTGAGTCTGCTGCTGCTGCTGGAAAACACTGCTGCCTGCCTGAAATTCATTAAGCGGGGCAGCCTGTTGAGGGGGAGAAAGGGGGGGCTGCTTTGCAGCACTGAAAACGTCCACAGTGTCCTCGGCTGCCTCTTCCTCGCTCCCAGTCTTAACTAATTGGGGATACAAAGGAGCTGAGGGAGGTAATGAGATTGCTCTGGCCGGAAAGCATCCAGATGCCTTACACCTGGTTTTTAACTCCTGCATCTGAGTTTTTAATTTCTCCTGGGAATCTTTTAAAGTTCGCACCCGAGACTCATGGAGTCTCTTTGAAGCTTCCTCCCACCAATAAACAAACGGTTCCCACTGCCCATCAGGGATTTTAGGTGACACAAGAGCGCCTCTGAGGTGGACAATCTTATTTAAATCGAAGGTACCTTCTAGTGGGAATTGTTTAGAAGGATCATCACGCGTGTAAAAATTCCAATTCTCTAAGTACTTACAAGTCCTGGGACTATAATGCACATACATAAAATAAGCAGGCGTGCCTTTCGGTGGAACAGGAGTAGTCTTGGACTGATTTCCACCCATTCTCTAGGCGTGTGGGGGGTGCCCTGTCTGCTGCAGCTGCTCATAAACTAAGACATGTCTCTATCCTGTCCACTGAGTCAGCGGCTCATAAAGCTAAAATTACCACACCACTCCTTGGGCACTCACACAGGAAAGATTTATCAATGATGTCCACGACCCTCCTACACCTCCCTTCAGCAAAGAGCGTCAGCTAGTTTCAGAGGGACAGCGCCGCTTACTCTAATTGCTTCCAGTGAGATGGTCAGACCAGTCAGTGGCTCAGGCGGGGAGGAGAGGGGGAGGAAAGATGGGGTCACACAATCCTAGACCCAGGCAGGTCCCTCGCTGGTCATGCCATGCAGAGATAGTCCACCTTGGGTCGGATCTTCTACTGATCCACTAAGGTGCAGCCATCAAGCTTGCGTTAGAGCTATCCCCTGTCAGGAGCTTGTGGGCTTTGCAGGGAGCTCTGGGCGTCTTCCAGTGGCCCTCATTCACACTGGCCTGTGCACCCCCCCTCCCCAAGGCCTCTATTCCATTCATACCATGATGCATCGGGTTTTTTTCTCCTTTTTTTTCTTTTTTTTTTTCCTCTGTCTTTTTTTTAACCTGAGGGCTTCACCACAACCCCTCTGTCTGGACTGAACACACCTGTGTTCTTCTCTCAGGGCGTTACCACAACCCCTCAATAGGTCTGACCTAAGCCACACATTGGTTTACCCTGGGGCAACAACACATTTCCTAGCCCTGCGTACGCATACAACTAACCTTACATGGGGCAACCAATTCCCCAGCACCGTTCTGCGTCTGATCTTGTTGCATACGCAAAAGTTCGCATGGCGTGAGCCCAAAGGGACAGACGGCCCCACAGTCAGTCCTCCTCCGATGCCCCAGTAGAGATTTCAAAAGGTCTCTTACCTCTGAGTTGGCGCCTGGGGTTCGAAGGGGGACAGTCCGTAGTAGCGGTCGCTGCCTCAGCTGGGCGTAGCCATTTGAGTCACGGCACCAAATATTGTGGAAGAAAACGAACTCCACTCTCAGGTTGGAAGCAACAAAATCAGAGACAGCTTTATTTGAGCAATTGAAAGGGAAGAGTACAGCTGGCAGAGAGCAAAGTACAAGCAAAATCACACAAGCATTTATACCTCATTGTGACGTGCATTAATTAAAAACATCTGCATTTTATTTTGGCCATTTACTATCTAATGCAGTATTTTCTCACTTTCTCTTCTCAAAACATCGTTATCTCAAGGCTAGGTCACACTGACTATTCTGCTGTTTCCCACTCGCTTCTGACGTGAGCCCTGCTTCTACAGGTCTCGCGATATTAGGCTAAGACTTAGCTCAACAGTTGCTCTGTCTCTGACACTTAAATGGCTGCACTTAAACCCTCTCTTTCCCTGCTGCCACGCTTTGTACTGGCATTACTGTGTCAGGGGTGTATTACACTGATGCATTTATAGGGGTATAAAGCTGCCGTATATTGGTTTAGCTTGTTCCCCTTCCCAGATGGGAATAGCTGTAATGGTATAAAGGACCTTTATAACTGCATCCACGCTGTGGGATTATTCTGGGGTAAGGATACTGATGTAGTTAAAGCTTGTGTGTAGATAAGGTCTTAGTTGAACATATAATGGATACGTTGGTAACAACTCCATGGTTGGTATGTTGAGCGTTCCATTTTAACACATGGTTTGAGTGTCTTTGTCGGGCATGGGAAAACCTTCTTGATCACACCAACGTTACGTCACATATTCTTGGGCCTTGTATACATTCGGAAACTATTGCTGAGAATTCCTACTGCTCGGAGCAATGATAAGCACTATAATGCAGGCTCAACACCGATGCTGGGTTATTTAGACCTACTCTGAGCAGCAGTAGGTGGCCTCCTGCTTAAAATGCTGATGGCTGCCGGGAGTCTGTTTACACTGCTGCTCCAGCTGTTGTTATCCCAGGGGATTGTGGCTAGTGTTGTGACTTCGGTGGTTATGTGGCTGGCTTGTCTCTAGTATGTTATTAGGGAGGGAGGGCCCCTGGTTGTGGATTTAGGCTATTCCATCGTTTGTTCTGGCACTGGAAGAAGTCCTACAAAGCAAAACGATGCTGACTGTATCTAGAATGGCTAACAAGCCTCAACAGGAAAATACGTTGCTAGACAAGTCTGTGGTGGTCTCGTCCCTGTTTCATCATCACTTAGGGAGTGATCCTGCAAGGTGCTCTGCTCTCTGGCCCTGATCCAGCAAACCACAGAGGCGCCTGCTGGACTCCAAGGCTGTGAGTAGCCACGCTGGCTAGTGCAGAATGTGCTGAAGTGCTTTGCGGATCGGTGCCACACAATAGGACTTTCAGGAGTTCTCAGTGATTTAATCCCTTTGGGAAGTCCCAGCCAGAGTGCGCAGTACCTTGCGGGATCAGTCCCTTTGATGGGAGAGGATCCAAACCTCCTGCCACAGGGGACTCACAGCCATCACAAATTGGGCTGCTGTCATGCCCCAGATGCTGCTCTCTGACACAATGTGTTGCCCGGGCTCCTTACTACCTCCTCCGTTGTAGTCCTTGCCCCACATTTCACTTTCCATACAGCGCGTGCTATTATTTTCACTCTGCGTTGGGCCTGGGTCTTGCCTCTGACCCTGATAACCGGCAGCAGCCACAGTGGTAGCGTGTAGCAGCAGGTAGCTGCCCACTCGAGTGCCCTAGAACACTGGAGCAGCTGTTGTGCAGGGGGCCACATGTGACAATTTCTCTTGTGCTGAATACAGGGCCAGGGCTGCCTTAGGAAAATTAATAGGCTGCCTGTGCCCGCCCAAGCTAGGCTTTGGCCATGCCTGCTTTAATTTAGGGGAAATCATCAGAGGCCGCCCTGGGGCTGCAGTAACACTGGGCATCTACCGGCAACCCAGATAAAGCCTTCGGTCAGATCAGCGCTTTGGGCAAACCTCCCTACTGAGTTCCTGCTCTCGCATCCCTGCGCTTCCTGTTACATTGGCACGATGTCTTTCCCCTGAGTCAAAACGCCGTCTGCTTTCGCATCTCACCAAAAGGGCTGCGGACTCTGCTGAGCCAGGGTGGTACCAAGTAACAATTCTTTTTAACATCCTGTCAACGTATGGAACAGCGTTGTTGGCTTCTGAGCTGCCAGAGGGAACACGAGCGTAGTAGAGAGACGCCTATTTACTGCCATGTTCCCTTGGTTCCTAGGAGTTGAAGAGAGTCCATGAAGAATATATGCTACAGAACCTAACCAACTGAGGCAGCCTGTTGGCCCTGCTTCCCTCCCAGGGGCAGGACTGGACTCATGGAGGGGTCCTAGTTGCCAGTCGCCTCGTACTCTTACTGCAAGACCATACTCCCCTTCTGGAGTTGGAGTACAGGAGCGCTGCTTCCCAGTGCCTTTAGGAATAGCAGCAAGAGGAGCAGTAGCTAAAGCCCCTGACAGCGTGTCAGATTTGGGTTCTTAAGTAGGGTTCCACTAGTGACTTTGTGCCCTTGGGCAAGTCACGTGGCCAGACCGTGCCTCAGTTTCCTCACCTGTAAATGGGGGATGATGCTCGTTCACCTCAGTAAACTGTAAGAGAGATCAATGCCACCAAGAGCTAAGGATTGTCAGCTCTCAGCAGCTGTCCCAGAAGTCTGCTGCTGAGTGGAGAAAGGCTGTCTGAGCCTGTGCTCTCCAGGGCAGCAATGAAAGCACGAGCAGCAACTGAGCCAGGAGCCAATTCAATGGGCGGGGGTGGAGGAGGGCTCCCCAAAACGGGGGGCAGGAGAAGAGCAGAGGCAGGGAAGGAACGTCTCCCTTCCTCCCAGTGGCTGGGAGCCAGCACTTAGCCGGTTCCAGCACCAACGCCCTGGTGGGAATCTTGGTAGCAACTGCACTGGAAACTCTCCGGAGGGGTTTTCAAAATGGCTCCTTTTTCAGTAAACTCTTTGCCTCTCCTCATACCCATGCACAGGCCACCCTCTCCATCCCTTGCTGCTTCCCTGCCAGCCATCTCCTCCAACCCACAGCTGCTTCTCTGTCACAACCGCACCCCAAACCCACCCGCCGTGCTGCTCTCTGACCGCTGCACGTGGGCACGAGGAGAGGCACAGACTCCCGACTCAGGACTGGTTCTCACAGCCGGCTGCTGCCAGGGGTGGGGCAGAGGAGTGGGAAGGTGAGAGCCGTCTTGCAGGGTAGAGAGCTCCTATTGACCTGTTCTGTGCATGCTTGGTCCGGGAAGCCGTGGCGGAGCTGGGCCTGTCGGTTCACGTGGTCTGGCGGCAGTGCTGAGAGCAGTGGAAGACGATTCCTGCATGTGCCCTCCAGCAGCTGGTGATTGTCGCTCACCTCTCTCCACACGCACACAGCCCATCCCCACACTGATGTCCCTGTGTCTAGATTCCCCATGGGCTGTAGCCAGTTGCCATCCATGGTGGCAGAAAGAGCCATCTAGCCTGATAGAAGTCCCTGGGTCTACCAGATCCTTCCGAGCTATGGAGTGCCCTTGGGACTGGCATGAGACTGGCCTAGCAAGCCCTCGAGCAGCACAAAGCAGCAGACAGTACTGGTGCCAGGGCAAATCCAGATCTGTTGATTGGCCTGCACTCTTGGCCCACTGCACTTCTGCAGGTCAGACCATTGTTCCGCTAGTGAGCTTCGCCCTGCTATCTAGCCACACCCTTTGTTCCCCCGGATCCTCTGCTGACAACCGGGTACTGGAGTAGTGGCTTGCTTGGTCCAGAGCAATGGCAGCTTAGTGACGAAGTACAAGGCTAAGAGCAGCCTTCCCACAGTCTCCACTGAACTGACATAGCCTTGGGTCCCTGACCCAGGCTCAGGAGTGATCATCCGAGCTCTATTGCACACATCTCTGTGTCCTTGTGCCATTGCCGACGGGAGTCGTGGGGTGCTCGCTGAAATGTCTGGGGGTGCGTTCCCTGTCAGCGGGGCACTTGGTAGCTTCTGGCCCCAGCCTGTAATAACTGAAGCCCCAGTCCAGCAAAGCATTCAAGCAGGTGCTTAACTTTAGCACCTGACCAATCCCATTTAAGTCATGGGCTTAGAGCTAAGCAAGTGTTGGAGTGCTTTGCTGGACCAGGTCCTGAGTCTTTACAGTTCAGTGCCAGCTCCCTTGTCACAGCTGGTTGGATTATGTTGTATTGCTCAGAGACATTTACTATTCCTGCCTTGATGCTCTTCGTTTGGCAGGAAAGGGACGAGTGAAGGAGAAATCCTGGAGGCATTTCCCGAGTGGGTGCCCAGGAGAAGGGGCATTGACACATAGGGCAGCTTTAGATGTGCAGGAAATTGGAGATTGGTCCTGCTTTGGGGTCCCTCCTGAGGTCCCTTCCAACCCTGATATTCTATGAGTCTATGAAGGGATGTTTGGTCTCTGTGTCCGTGAGCCCTTTCCACATCTCACCTCTTGTTCAGAGGCATCGAGGCAGAAACAGGTCTCGCTTAGGACTAGAGGAGTTGCATGCAGGGGGCTCTCCCCTCCTGCGCGTCCTCCCCCCCCACCCAGGATCTTCAGGGAAGAGAGAGGAAGAGGAGCACTGCAGGATAGCGGCTGTTTGGAGTCACAGGCAGAGAGGAGGAACCAGCTAGGGGCAGAGCTCTTGACCTGCTGCTCACAAACCGAGAAGAAGTAGTAGGGGAAGCAAAAGTGGATGGGAACCTGGGAGGCAGTGACCATGAGATGGTCGAGTTCAGGATCCTGACACAAGGAGGAAAGGAGAGCAGCAGAATACGGACCCTGGACTTCAGAAAAGCAGACTTTGACAACCTCAGGGAACTGATGGGCAGGATCCCCTGGGAGAATAACATGAGGGGGAAAGGAGTCCAGGAGAGCTGGCTGTATTTTAAACCTTATTGAGGTTGCAGGAACAAACCATCCCGATGTGTAGAAAGAATAGTAAATATGGCAGGCGACCAGCTTGGCTTAACAGTGAAATCCTTGCTGATCTTAAACACAAAAAAGAAGCTTACAAGAAGTGGAAGATTGGACAAATGACCAGGGAAGAATATAAAAATATTGCCCGGGCATGCAGGAGTGAAATCAGGAAGGCCAAATCACACTTGCAGTTGCAGCTAGCAAGAGATGTTAAGAGTAACAAGAAGGGTTTCTTCAGGTATGTTAGCAACAAGAAGAAAGCCAAGGAAAGTGTGGGCCCCTTACTGAATGAGGGAGGCAACCTAGTGACAGAGGATGTGGAAAAAGCTAATGTACTCAATGCTTTTTTTGCCTCTGTCTTCACAAACAAGGTGAGCTCCCAGACTGCTGCACTGGGCAGCACAGCATGGGGAGGAGGGGACCAGCCCTCTGTGGAGAAAGAAGTGGTTTGGGACTATTTAAAAAAGCTGGACAAGCACAAGTCCATGGGGCCGGACGAGTTGCATCTGAGAGTGCTGAAGGAGTTGGCGGATGTGATTGCAGAGCCATTGACCATTATCTTTGAAAACTCATGGCAATCGGGGGAGATCCCGGACGACTGGAAAAAGGCTAATGTAGTGCCCACCTTTAAAAAAGGGAAGAAGGAGGATCCGGGGCACTACAGGCCAGCCAGCCTCACCTCAGTCCCTGGAAAAATCCTGGAGCAGGTCCTCAAGGAATCAATTCTGAAGCACTTAAAGGAGAGGAAAGTGATCAGGAACAGTCAGCATGGATTCACCAAGGGCAAGTCATACCTGACTAACCTAATTGCCTTCTCTGACGAGATAACTGGCTCTGTGGATGAGGGGAAAGCAGTGGATGTGTTATTCCTTGACTTTAGCAAAGCTTTTGATATTGTCTCCCACAGTATTCTTGCCAGCAAGTCAAAGAAGTATGGGCTGGATGAATGGACTATATGCTTCCCCGGAGCGATCTCCGCTCCCTTGTCCATGCTGACTGGAGCTGTCAGCTGGGTGGTCTTGGAAGGGTCCACCGAGAGAGGCCTCTTTGCTCAGTCAGACATTCTTCAGCCCCATATCATTATTGCAAGTCTCCAGCACCATCTGTGTGGGGAGTAACTGCTGAGGGAAGGTGGCAGAACCTGCCTCTCTCCCTGGCGATGTGGCGGGCGAGCCTGCTGGTGGTCTTTGCATTTGCACTGGAGGTGGTAGAAATTTGCAGCTCAATAGATGGCATCAGTTCCTGGGGCTGTAGGGAGCCTGGCATCTTTCGCCAGCATGGAGTTCGCGCCAGTGCACGCAGGGCTGCAGTATTGACCCTTCAGGGCACGGTCTACGCTGTTTGTTTTGGGCTGGACTGTGACTTGGCCAACGCCCCACCCAGGAGTGAGAGCCCTGCTCACGCCCCCATGTGGGCCACCTCCGCCTGGGACCGACCCAAGTGGGTGTTCTGAGCCTATTACCTCCTCCGCTCCAGAGTGGCGGGAGAGGGGAGAAGTCTTGGCTGCAGTGTGGCAGCTAGTGCCCTGAGCCTATGGGGTGTGTGTGGGTGTGTGTGTGGGTGTGTAAGAGAGATAGTCCGGGATGTATGTCTCCTGGCACTGGGAATCACACCCCTAGTTGAGAGTGCAGACATGCTCTTAATCATGACGTCCCCTCCGGGGGTGGGACAGGTTAGGTCCCCCCTTCACCCAGGGCTAGGCCAGGTCTGAGATAAGGCTAGGTAAGTTACAGGTGTGCGTAGCAGGAAGGTTTTTAGAAAAAGAGGTGCTTGGTATTGACAGTCGCTGCGTGGCTCCTAAGGCATGTTCTCTGTGTTCAGGAAGACAGAAATCAAAGCCGTTTCCTTTCAGTGTAGAAAAGATACGCCCCCCTGGCCGACACCGTGAGAGTGAGGGGCTACGAGGTGCAGATGGATGCCCTGATCGTCGGAGCCCTGGGCGCTTGGGACCGCTGCAACGAGCGTGTGCTGCGGACCTGTGGGATCGGTCGATGCTACGCAAGGCTCGTGTGGCGCCTCATGGTCTCGGAAACCATCCGATGGTCCAGGGACATCTACATCGAACACATCCCCGGTCTCCGACAGTACCAGGAGGTGTGAGCTGGTTCGACATCGTGCATCCACTATGGGAAAGGGACGGAGAGACTTTTTCCATTGGCCCGTATGAACTGGAACCATAAACTCACTGAACATTAAATCCCACCAAATGAGGGTAGATCCATCCTCATCGTCGTATCCACTCATTATACTCCACACCTGAACATAGCCATTGTATGGACAACATACCCCCATATCTCAATGTCTTCACTTTGACCCGCTAAACTTTTACCCCCAATCGGGGAGATTGCAGATTATGTATTCCTTATGCCACCCGTTCCTAAACCAAATTTCGCACCCCTTGATAATCTGTACCTTATTCCCTGAAAACCAGAAACATCTATGCTTAAACTCTGTACCGTTTTCTTTTTACTTCAACATTATCTTAATAAAATTATTAAAGAACTTTTGTCTTTTTCCAGTTCTCGAACTGCTCCAAGCAGCTTGTTGTCCAGGAGACCCACGTGCAAGAGAGCCTGTATTTCTAGTTGTTTAATAGGGGTTTCTGGTTTCTGCAAGTTACCCGCCTCTTGCTCTGTTATGTGACATGTTCTAGCCAGTCAGGCTGGCTCCCTGCACCTAAAACAACACAAATCAGGAAGGGCAGCACATGTTCCTCCCACGGTCTGGGCTTGCCACTGTGGGTGAGCACTTCTCTTCCGAGTGCAGGTCAGACAGTGAGGGGCTTGTGTTTCTATGGGGGTGGGTGGGTGCGTGCGTGCATGGGGGGATCTGTTTGATTGGTTTATTCCCTGTCATAGTAAATCTATTTGAACCCACCCTACAAGCTTAAAACCACCCTACAATTTCCATCTGTTGGGTGGCTCCCATCCCAAGTGTCCACACGCCTGCCTGCGATGTTTCTCTCCAGATGACCCTTAAGGAATGTGGGGGTGGGGAATGTTTGCTGTGTTACCTCTGGGGCACGTTAGAATGTGTGTGTGTCCTTTAGGCACTAGATTACATGGCTTTTGTATTAACTGAGGTGTGGGTTGATGTGATCATTTCTAAACCCTGTCTTTTTTTTTCAAACGGGCACATGGGGAAGAAGGGAGGGAGGGGAAGTTACGCTAACAACCCTCTGTTTATTTCATGCAGTATTGTTGTTGATTTGTTATATGAAGCGCACTGCGCTAGGTACTGTACGTAGACATAGCAAGAGACGGTCTCTGCTCCAAAGAGATTACAGTCTAAATAGACAAGACAGGCACGGGGTGGGGCGAGAGGGAGCGTTCTTTCCCCTTTTGCAAATGAGGAACGCAGGAATAGAGATGTGAAGTGAGTTGCCCAAAGTCATGCAGGGAATTGGTGGCAGAGTGGGAATTGAAACCACATCTGCTGAGTCTCAGTCCAGTGCTTTATCCACTAGAGGGAAAGGAAGAGAAGACAAATGGAGACTCCTCTGTGAGGTTTGAGCTTTGGAGAACCTCCCCTATGGCTCTGGTTCATCTGGTAGAGAACCGGAGAGCTCTGTAGTTTGCTTCCTTCCTTCAGAAGTCTGCACTTCCTTCTGAAATGAAATAACCAAAGAAAAATATATTTGGCATCATTTGAACAGCGGTAAGGTTTTGCTTCTATTTGCTCTTTACAATGCTGAGCCAATACGAGCTGGTTGGCACTTAGGTTTTACTGGCAGAACTATTTCAGTTAGGGGTCTGACTCTCTTTCTTCTTTACCAGGATAGTTACACTGGTAAATGCCATAGCGTGGGTGAAGTTTTACTGGTGTGAAGGTGCCTTAAACGTGTATAGCTTGTCCTCGCACAGGAAGGAGAATAGCTGTATGCAGTTGTATGTATCTTTGTACCAGAATCGCTTGGTCCAGGGTAGGGGGTTTTATCGCTGTAACTACACTGGCTTGGTTAAATTGGCACAGTTTGCAGTGCGGACAGGGCCTCGGTAAGGGAAGAGAGCAAGCCGTTTCTCGAAGCTACGCTGTGATAGCTCCGGTGGTGTGGAATGAGGTGCCGTCCGGCTGCAGGGTGTTTCACCAAGGGAGCATTTAAACAGAGACTCTCCTACCTGGGCACGATCCAAGGTGTCCATTGTGGCCCCTAGAGCCCTTCATGGTTTTGGTTCCTCCTGTGGTGTTGTGCTTTCCCTTGCTGTCCTGCCTGGCTTCAGCCTAACGGCCAGTCTCCGTGGGGATCCTAGTCCCTGTCCGATTTCCCGCCTGAATCAGCCGTGTGGCCACCGTCACACCATTGCAGGGCGCAACCCCTCCTCTCACCGGGAGGTCACCGTGAATGCTCTGTGAGTTGGCCAGTGGTGACTGCTGCCCTCAGGGGCACCGGAACCTTGCGGGTCCGGGCAACACATGTTCTGTGTTTTCACTGTCTTGGGTCTCCTGCATGGCAGCATGAGGTGGGGTGGGGAGCTCACAGGCTACTGTCTTGCTTCTCTGTGCCCGTGGCTCTCCTGGCTGCGAAGTCCAGCATGCTGCTGAGTACGTGGGGCCTGGATTATTCTGAGACCAAGCTGTCTGAACAGCAGGACAATGGGACCAGAGTTTCCCCTTCCCCTGTGTCACCATCAGAGTTCACCATAGTCTGTGGATGAAATCTCTGGCACAGGAGAGCTGAGGGCACCAGGCACTACCAGCGCTGCAATCTCCCGTCCCAGGCATTTCATCCACGAGCTGTGCGGGGCAAAGGGAGGTTTAGATCCCATTTTTGTGCTGTTCCGAGTGTTTCAAGTCCCGTGCACGGCTGTTGCGGAGGTAAAGTGGTTTCTTCTCCTCCGTGTTTGCACCTGCGAGGTTTCCGGTGGAGAATCTGGGTTGCTGTCATCTAGAAACAGCCGAGTGTTTCTTGCTGTGATAAATCTCCAAGGTTTTCTAGGGCAGAATGTTGCTTTGGGGTGGCTGGTTCTGTGGGGCCAGATGGGTAGCAGGAGCGGATCAAAACCTTTCATTTGAATGCCTCACGTTTGCAAGGCTTGCTCATTCTTCTCCCCTTGCTGACTCCCATCAGGTTGGCTGCAGTCTGCTGTGGGATGGGCGAGGCAGCGGAGAACAAGTACGTGTCCCAGCTTCAGGATGTTTATAACAGCTGCGATACCACGGGCACGGGGTATCTGGACAAAGAGGAGCTGACAGAGCTGTGCCGTAAACTCCATCTGGAGCGGCAGCTGCCAGTACTTCTGCAAACTCTCCTGGGACACGACCACTTTGCCAGGGTGAGTAGCTGCGTGCGACCTGAATGCGGTTACACATGCCACTGTGCAAAGGTTAATTTCTTTCAAAGAGAACGTGCAAATAAATAAATGAAACTCAGAAAGTTCTTAAATACCACAGATTAGTACCGGTCTATCTGTACCTAAATGCCGGAGCTACGTACTGACGGACACGAGTTCAGGCTCTGGGCCCAGGACTGTGTAACTGCTGGCGGGGTCTGTAGGTGAAGTGCAGTAAACTGACTTAAAAGAGGCAGAATGAAAAGCTTGTTGGCTATTAATAGCATAGCTGTGCGGTTAGGTTGACTGTGTAGGTCACATGCTGTTGGAAAGCACTTGGGCTGGGTTGGGCCCTGTATTATTTAATGGCTTTGTTCCAACTCTTCTGGTTTTAGAAACATTAGTGTCTGTTTTTGTGGGACCCAGGCGAAAGTACGGATGCCTTTAACCCAACAGTGGATTGTCTCAATGAGAGAAGTTCCTTACCTGACTGCTCACCTGTGCCATGGTGCTTGGCTGCGTGGGGAGGAGGGGGGCACTGGCAGCTCCAGGGACTCCTGCTGCTGGTGGGGTTGGAGTGAGCCCCACAGCCAGCCCTGAAGTTTGCCTGCCTGGGAATGGAGGGGGTTCAATAGGCAGATTTTCCAGAAAATCCCACTGCGAGCCAGGAGCCTTCTGCTGCTCACGCCCTGCCTGAACGGAACCTAGCTCCCATCGTGGTAGCACCTGAGAGGAACTGCCAGGCTGGATCATACTTGGGGTCTGTCTAATCCTGTCTCCGCTAGTGCCTTGCGCTAGCTGCTTCAGGGGACGGTGCGAGAGCTTTGGAGCAGGCAGATGAGGAAACTTCTATTTGCTTTTCAGAAAATCTTTTCCACTGCAGCACCACCATGTTCTTGCTATCGATTAACATGTCTGATCCTGTCTGAGTCCTGCTAAGCTCTTGACCTCCATGATACCTTGTGGCATACAGTTCCACAGGCTTAGCACATATCATGTGGAAAGAGTAGTGACTTTCATGTTAAATCTGTTGCTTTTCAGTTTCATTGCCCATAGTAGTCCCCTTGCTCCTGTGTTGAGAGCGTGAGGGAAATAAAACCTCATTCTGCAGGGTTTAAGCCAATTGCTAAATATTAGGTATTGGTTTGAGTCTTCCATGGGGGCTGATTACACCACATGTGCCTAGTGTGTGGTTCTTACATCTTCCTCTGTAGCATCCAGTACTGGGCCCAGTGGGAGACGAGATGGGGGAAAGATGGCTTGTGTCTCTGGCCTTGCTGCACATGGCATCCGTGACCCAGCTGCTCCTGCCCGTAACACCCCTGCCGTTCCAGCTCACCCCAGTTCAGTTCCACTGCTGCTCTTCTAGCTGGCCCTGTTGGGGCAGTGCTACTGGGAAGAGTACTGGGGTTTGTCTACACATAGAGTTATACTGGTTTTCCTAAGGGCTCGTCTAGTCTACGGACCATAGGCTACATAGCTAGGCTGGCAGAGCCCCCGCCAGGGGAAATGCAGCATAAGCCCATAGGAGGAGTTCTCCCCACATAGCTACCCATCTCCCCAAAGGATGTTAGGTATGCGACAGAAGCACTCTTCTGCTGGTCTAGTTGTGGTTACACTGGGGGTTTTGCTGGCATAGCTCTGTTGGCTGGGGCAGGGGGTTCCTAGCCGACATAGTTATGCCGGTAAAACTTTGCAGTGTAGATGAGGCCTTAAAATGGAATCTTACCATCAGTTTATCTAGCCCAGTACAAAAGGCTGCGTGGAAGGACTCATAAATCAGTACAAACCTGGTTGAGTCAATTACGACTTGATCATGAGCCAGTTAAGCTCAAGCAAAAGTAGCTCCTCAAACCAAAATGAGTGTCCACACAGGATTGCAGCAATTTAACTAAACCAGTGCAACCAGTGTGAATGAGGCTTCCGCTCCCTGCTCCGACCTGTGTTCTCCTTCAGCACTGTTTGGCTTGGGAAGAGGAGAGGATCGCAGAGTACTGTAACTCTGATCTCTTTAGAATTGAAGCCACTAGTTCCCAGTGGATCTGGGACAGTCCCTATGGGCCTGATCCAAAGCCCATTGACATTAATGGACGTTGCTTTATTGACTCCAGTGGGCTTTGGATCAGGCCCTCTCTAGAGCATCATGTTAGCTCGGCTAAAGAATTGTAATTGTTGGAACTCTTGTGGGGAGAGGGAGGGAGAAGAAAAAAGAGCAGATTGCTTTATATTGGGGTAAATGGAACGTCTCTCCCTCCCCACCCCCAAAAAAAATCCTCTTCTCCCAGTGTTTTCTTGTGATTAAAATGCTATGCTGTATTTTTCATGCTGACAAAAGCATCGTTAAACTACATGGGTCCAGTCAATTTATGAATGGCAGTAGATCGCCATCCCGCAGTCAGTCATACTCCCCTGCAAGCATGTGCAGAGACACTGGGGTTTCACTGAGGGGAAATACAGGACTCAGAAGTCTGGCTTCCGCAGCAAGTTGGCGGGGAAAAGCTCGGTGTGTTCCAGGCCTCTGGGTTTCCGCGTGGCAGCTATACATTCCTTCCACCTACGCCTGTGCTCAGGGTGTAGTGAGATGCGGGAGCGGAGGCGCCAGGGTGATATATGTATGCTGGAGGCTGGGCGATAGCCTGACCTGTTTGAAGTCCATGCTACAGCTCCCATTAACTTCAGTGGGGTCACGATTTTACCCTAGGGTTTTCTTTTTGCAGGGGGTAGTACAAACTGGCTTTCAGCGTTGGTTTACATGAGTTTGCGTCCCCTGAGTTTCACTCTTGAGTTCAAACAAACCTAAAGCTCAGATGAACTGCAGCTTTCATGGTTTCAGCGTGGAACCATAAATCAGTCTGGTACTATTTTAACTAGGTCCCAGGCTTGTGAACCTTTTGATAGGTTTGGGGTAAGGTTTTTGGATTTTTTAAGTTTTTTGTCTGTAAAAAAATCTGTGCTTCCGGACTTTCCTGCAGTTGTTGGGTGATTGTTGGTGTTTTCCCTTTTTATAGATATCCCAAAATCATTGTAAGCAAAATTGTTAACTTCTGGTTGGCTAATTATCTCAGCTTCTGAAAAGTAACATTCCAAAGCCACTGACTTGATTTGCCTGCCCCGAGGACTGTGAGAGGAAAGATAGCTAAACAGTGATATCACATCCTGGTTTTGGTGGTTTTATTTAAATGATTGCAAAACTTTTGATTACATTCATTTGCTCGCTGTTCAGTTCAAGGAAACAAATGCAATTTCTGCTTTTATCAGCAGAAAAGACATTGCTATAAACTGATTATTATTTAATTAGAATGGAAGTGATCATAAAATGATATATTTCATGATTCTGAGGAAAGGAAGGAGTGAGAGCAGCAGAATAAGGACAATGGACTTCAAAAAAGCAGCCTTTAACAAACTCAGAGAACTGGTAGGTAAGGTCTCCTGGGAAGAAAATCTAAGGGATAAAGGAGTTCAGGAGAGGTGGCAGTTTCTCAAAGAAACAATATTAAAGGCACAATCGCAAGCTAACCTGAGGTGACACAAAGGTAGAAAGAATAGTAAGAGGCCAGTATGGTACCATTAGGAGTTCTTTAATGACCTGAGAATCGGAAAGGAATTCTACAAAAAGTGGAAATGTGGATGAATTGCTAAGGAGGAGTACAAAAGACTAGCACAAGCATGTAGGGACAAAATCAGAAAGGCTAATGCACAAAGTGAGTTATGCCAAGCAAGGGTCATAAAAGGCAAGAAGAGGTACTTTAAATACATTAGGAGTGAGAGAAAGATGAAGGAAAGTGTTAGGTCCTCTACTTAGTGGGGAAGGAGAGCTAATGACTGATGATGTCAAGAAGGCTGAGGTGTCTAATGATTATTTTGCTTCAGTTGTCACCGAAAAGGTTAACAGTGACCAGACACTCAACACAATTAACATTAACAAGGGAGAAGGAACACAAGCCAAAATAGGGAGAGAACAGATTAAAGAATATTTAGTTGAGTTAGATGTATTTGAGTTGGTGGGGCCTGCTGAAATTCATCCTAGGGTAGTTTGTTTCAGCTGGTTCCTAATCTTGGAACTGTTGGCAATTATCTTGAGGAACTCACTGGGGGTGGGTGAGGTCCCAGAGGACTGCAGAAGGGCAAACTTAGTACCTAGCTTTAAAAAGGGGAACAAAGTGCACACCTGGAATTATAGACCAGTCATCTTAACTCTGATCTCTGGAAAGATACCAGAACAAATAAACAGACAATTTGTGAGCACCTAGAGGATAATAAGGTTATAAGGAATAGCCAGCAGGAATTTGTTAAGAACCAATCATGCCAAACAACCTAATTTTCTTCTTTGACAGGGTTATTGGCCTAGTGGATAGGGGAGAAGCAGTAGATATGTTATATTTTGAGTTTAGTAAGGTGTCCGATGCAGTCCCACAAGCAAACTAGGGAAATGTCTAGATGAAATTACTTTGAGGTGGGTGCACAACTAGTTGAAAGAATCAGAGTATTTATCAATGGCTCACTGTCGAACTGGGAGGGCATATCTAGTGGAGTCTTGCAGGGATCACTCTTGTGTCTGGTATGTAAGACACAGGAGGTCACTGTCCTGCTCTACTCAGCACTGGGGAGGCCTCAGCTGGAGCGCTGTGTCCAGTTCTGGGCAGCGCACTCCAGGAAGGAGGTGGATAAATTGGAGAGAGAAAAATGATCAAAGGTTTAGAAAACTTGAGCTATGAGGAAAGGTTAAAAACACTGAACACGTTTAGTTTTGAGAAAAGAAGAGTGAGGGGGGACCTGATACCAGTCTTCAAAGATGTTAAGGGCCATTATACAGCAGACGGTGATCAGTTGTTCCCCATGTCCACTAAAGGTAGGACAAGAAGTAATGGGCTTAATCTGCAACATCCCAAGACAGGAAACTGGGGAGGTTTAGGTTAGCTACCAGGAAAAACTCTCTAACTATTTATGGCAGTTACGCTCTGGAACAGGCTTCCAAGGGAGGCTGGGGAATCCCCGTCATTGGAGGTTTTTAAGAACCGGTTGGACAAAGCCCTGCCAAGAGGGTCTAGGGTTACTTGGCCCAGCCTCCATGCAGGGATCTGGAATCCATGGTGTCTTGAAGTCCCTTCCAGCCCAACATGTTTATGATTCTATGAATTTAGTTGACCTCTCTCACAGTTTCTCTCTCTCTCTTTCTCCAAGTACGTCAACGACTGTCTTCTGTTTTACTTTAATTGCATGCATGTTTGAACACGATCAAGAGTGAGATCTCTGAGAACATAGGGATGCTCTGATGCAAACAAAATGCATTTTAAAAAACTGTAAGGATAGAGGGGACCTGCCATGTTTGTGGGGATTGGACTGAGGGGAAAGAGCTGAATAGCTAGTTCTGTGTTCCAGCAACCAGATGTGCCCGTATTTGTTACTGCATCTAACAACGATGGAAGTACGCTACCTAAATGCTTCTACTAAAATGACAAGAGGTGAAATAGTGTGCTCTATTAACCTCTTAAATAATCAGTGTAGAACATATGTATTAACATTCCCTTTAGATAGATGGGTCAGTGAATGCTTCTCAGAAGTCCTGTTTCAAGCTGTTTGCTTCTGAGATGGTCTAGCAGTAATTCAGGTTGGGAATGTTTCGTTCTCAGCCTCAAGGGCTGAAAGCTACGAATCTGGAGTACAACGGGCAGTAGAGGCTGAATTGTCAGCAGGGTCCACAGAAAATACCAGGTTTTGCTTACGTACTCTAGCTTCAGTCAGTATTTAGTTGTCTGTATTATATACTGCTACATGTATTGTGGTAATGCCTCCGAGGCTCAGTCAGGATCAGACCCTGTTGTCTGTATATGTCGCATTGTAGTTTTCCTTCGGTGTTGGCTTCGTTAGGGAAAAGGTGTGCTGGCCAACATGTTAACATCCTAGTGTAGACATGTTCTAGCAGGATACCTGTCCAGGATAAACCCTTGACTCCCCCAGGGCTTACCGTGACCAGCTAATGCAGGTTAAAACTGCCCTCTGCCTTGTCTGCATTAAGATGTTAGCTCCTGTTCAATAGCATGTGTTTAAAAACACCCCATTTTTCCTTAGTGTAGACGTGGCCTTTGAGAAGAAGACAAGCTAGTTATTATCCAGCAGACTGAGTTCCAGTAGCCTGGTAATGGATGCCCAAGGCAGAGTAAGCCAGCAGAACCCAGGCTGCAGGTCCCAGACAGTGCAGTGTAAGATTTCTAGCGGCCTGCACCCAGCGTCTCCTATCAGACACTGCAATAGCCGAGGCGAACCCCCCAGGTTATCTCTGAGCGATGGAGGAGGACAGCGCATTGCTTCTGCACATAGCAGGCTCCCAGCAGAAGCACGAAACGAGGCTTGTGAGGCTGAACTGAGTACGAGTGACCGCCCCAGGTGTCTGATGGGAGGCCCGGTATGCGTGTTCAGCATCTTTTCCTGTCTCCACTAGGTAAACTTTGAAGAGTTTAAAGAAGGTTTCGTGGCAGTGCTGTCCTCCAACATTGACCTGGGCATTTCCGACGAGGAGAGCAGCTACTTGGAACCAGGTGCTGGGAGACTTTGCAGCTGGTTGTTCAGTTTTTTTCCCTCTGCTTCTGCTGCCAGTTGAAAGCCTTACCTGCTGGTGCATTGACGAATTGCTAAGACAGAGAGGAAGGATGGTCCAGTGGTTAGGGCACTGGCCTGGAACGAGAGAGTTGTGGGTTTGATTCCCTGCTCTGGCACGGACTTCCCATGTGACCTTGGGCAGGTCTCTCTGTGCCCCAGTTCCCTGTCTGTAAGACGGGGATCACAGCACTGCCCTACCTCCCCGGGGTGCTGAGGGTAAATACATTGAACACTGCGAGGTGCTCAGATACCACACTAGGTCCTTCCTAGATCTTAAGGGACCACTGTGATCATCTAGTCTGACTGGATTTGTCTAGCTTCAACTTCTAGCTGGTGGAGCTTGTTAGACCTTTGTCTTCTAGACTGAATATCCCTTTTATTATCCAATTTCTGATCCCCAGGTGGGATCTGAAATGATCATGTCACCCCTAACTTCTGTCTTTGATAAGCCAAGTAGATTGAGCTTCTTGAGTCTTTCACTAAAAGATTGGAAAACATGCCTTATAATGGTTGTCAGGGTTCTCCTCTGAACTCTCTCCAATTTATCAGCATCCTTCTTGAATTATGGATGCCACAGCAGTCTAGTAGAGGTTGCACCAGTGCCCAAGACAGAGGCAATGGGACCAGATCAGTACCTAAGATAGGCAGTTTTTTAATTGTTTGTTATGCTTTGTGGCCGGGTGGGGTGTGAATTTTGCACTGAGTGACTTGGCAACTTCAGCAAAGTGAGGGCTAGCAACAAAAGGGTTAATTCAGGATTGTTAAATCCCACTCATAGCTTCAGTATTGGGCTTTTCCAGACAAATAGCCTCTGTCGGTAACCGGCCACCTGCCCAGGTGTGTCCTTTCTGGGGTGGCCAGGGATGCAGCAGGGTCACGGAAGATTCACAGCTTTAGCTGTACGTGTCACATTAGCATGCCCAGCTATTCCTCATTTTGTCTCATTGAGGCAGGACTGGACGTACACCGTCCCATACACTTGTACAGTGGGCAACGGGCCCACGGTGTGTGAGACTGGTGGAGCACAGCAGGACATGAGCTTTGATGCTCTCCCAACCAGCGCATTATAGCTAGGATTGTTTAGAATGGGGGAAAAGGTTATGTCTAGAAGCGGTGGGCTGGAGGCAGGAATCGCTGGGGGCAGTTGTCTGGCCTGTGTTAGTTAGACAGAAGGTCAGACTAGATGATCACATTGGTCCCTTCGGGCCTGCGAATCTCTGGATCGCTTGATCCTTCAAACACTGGAATACTCTTGTAATAGGGCCGGGAGAATGGCCTCAGGGGTAGGGCACAGAACTGGGGAGATAGGCTTCAGTTCCCAGCTCTGCCCCAAACTTCCTGCATGACCTTGGGCCAGTCGCTTAATCTACCCTGTGCTTCACTTCTCCCTTTGACAGGTGGGGACTGTCCTTCCCTACCTCGCTGGGTGCTGTCCAAAAAAAACCATTGTGAAGCTTTTGGGCGCGCAGTGGTGAGGGCTAAGTGCGGGCCAGAAAGCTAGAATACTGCAGCACGCAAGCACAGCTGGAGTTCAGCAAATATCAGCCGCTACAATTTGTCTTCTTGCGTACCCTACACCTTGACTGCCTCTGGTCACACCACGTACCGAGGTTTGAGTTTGCTACCTGCTTATGTGACAACAAGTGGTCCTTTGGCTCAGGCAATAGACGCCTGTTTTAAGATCCTGAGGTCCCAGGTTTGGTCCCTGCACATGATGATGTGATCAGGGACACCATTACTCAAAGCTCATTGCTGCTTAAATAAGAGCGGAAAAGGGGAACTCTTTCTGTTTACTTGGTACGCGTGTGAATCCTAATGCGGGAGAAGGCAGAGTGAGTCACTCTTCAGACTGGCCGTTCTCTCTGTGGGTCTGTGATTTGTGTGTCCAAATAGAAAGCTATTTGGCCTTTAGAGAGAGCAAGGGAGCAATGCTGTAGTTCCGCAGTGAAAGTCACTGTGCTAGGAGCTCTCTGTAGTCTCAGTCTGAGCAGCACGGTCTTTTTTGGTTTTAAATAAGCAGCAGAGTTTGAAAAGAAATTTGTCTAGACATCTGTGTGTCCCAGACTGAGATTGATTTTTTTCCCACCTAGCTGTCCCAGATGATGTCAAGCCCAAGTACGTGAATGGGGCTAAGTGGTACGGCCGCTGGACGAAGCCAGAGCTCCAAGAAACCGAGGTGGAAACCACCAAGTATTTACAAGATCAGCAAGTTAAAGCCAGCGTGAAGAGTCAGCTGAGACGCTCGGCATCTCTGGAGAGTGCGGAGGTAGGAATGACTCATTCCCCCCGCTCCTTGGAGCAGGCTGGCCAGATTTAACTCAGCCTTCTTGCTTGATTGCAAGTAATGTTTAAACAGAAGGCCGCATTCATGGTGGTCTAACCTGTTCTGAATGGTTACCTGTGGCAATCCTTAAGAAGTGCCGATCTGCATTGGGCATGGATTACAAAGCCCAGTGCTAGAGCGGGTCGTAGGAAGAATGCTGCACAGGTACCAGGCAGAGTTGATACAGGTGCCATTTGGACATTGGTGGGGCACCCTGGGAGCCTATTGTGCATGGCAGAGTCTGCACACGGTCCCTGTCCCCCAGAGCCTGCAGCCAGACAGCAGTACCGTACCTCTGGTTTTGGTCACCCCTATGGTTACCAAATTCTGGTTACCCCTGTGGGAAGAGATTCCCCCTTTTGTACAATGAATTAAATGGAAGGAAATAAAATTTATTGGAAAAACATTTACTCGATTCGTGAAGTGTCCCCTGCTGGAAAGATAATGGACAAAAGTCAGGGACATTCCAACTTGGCTGCCTCGCTGCGCCCTACCCCACGTCCACACAAGTCACAGGGCACTGGAGTGGGGCTCAGGTCCCTTCCACGCTCAGGGTGTCCGTTTTCCCTCCCGCCCCTCTCCTGTCCCTGTAGGATGTCAGCTGTTCGGGGCAAAGGCTGTCTCTCGCTACCTACCTACTCCAATGGTGCCCTGAAGGTGCTTCTGTGATACAAATAACAATTAAAGCAAGAGCAGGCCACTCTGTAAGAGCTATTAACGGGGGTTCTAAGTAAGTTAAACTATCGCACCTAGGACCCCCCTATGGACGTTTTGCTTCAAAACCCATTTAATGGACAGTAGCTTTGCCCCTCTTTGTGGGACAGGAGGATCGGCATGGGGTTGAGAATGGGGGTTGTCATTGCTTGTGGGGTCTCCAGGGAGAGCTCTGGTTAATGAAAAACAGATGATGAGTCAACTGGATGCATTATTTTTAAAGAAAATATAAACAGAGTCTAAGAAAAGAAATGTAGATTGCTTATATCATGCTGCTTAGAACATGCTGCTTCACGAGACCGTTCTCTCTTAAAATAAAAACACAGGGCAAGGAGAACGTGAACAAATTCATCCTTGGACAGAAAACTATTTTGAGAGAAAACAAATGTTACCCTCCCCCATGGCTGAGTGGGCAGAGCAGCTCCCCTGCTGGTCCAAAAATGCAGCTCCATGGCTTGGCCCCAGTCCTGCAGGCTGCCCTGCATGGGTGGATCCCTGCACACAGTGCCTCTCCCTCCCCCCCGCCCCGAGCCCTGCTGGGGGAAGACTCAGGGCCCTTTGCTTAGTTGTTTTGCTCTGGTGTCTGATTTCCTTTTAGCAGAATAGTTTTGTTCTTTGTTGTTACATTCTTTACGTCCCACTGTTACATCTGCCATTCTTGTAAGTTGCCTTAACAATTTATTTAAGTTTTAAAAAAAAAGAAAGACAGATCAGCAGAGACTGGCTTGTGTGTAGGGAAAAAACGATTGACGGCTTTTCAAAGAGCATTCATCGAACACTATTTTCTTTTAAAATGCCCCTGTGTGTTCCCCTCTGTCTTACCCCACAGGAACCAAGTGACCAGTCATTTGTGAACCCGTCCCAGGGCACCTTAACATAACAGACGAAGAGTTGTCCAGTGGTTACGTGCTGCTGGGACTTGGGAGACCCAGGTTCAATTCCCAGCTCTGTTGCAGACTCCTGGTGTGACCTTGGGCCAGGCACTTACCCTCTCTGTGCCTCAGTTCCCATCCATACAAGGAGGATCGTCACCCTGCCCCAGGGTGATGAGGATAAACACATTAAAGGCTGGATGCTGTAGTGATGGGGCCATATAAGCACCTAGGGAAGACAAATAATATAGGGCTGGCTCTTCAGAGATCTGGTGCTCAGTCCTTCTGAAAATCAGACTTGTCTTTAATGTCTCTTGAAATGCGCTCCCAATAACTGAGTCCCAAAATTACTAGTTGCTCTTGATAATCTTGTCCAGAGGTTGTAGAACTGGTCAGTGTAACATCCTTTAGTACTGGATAAGTAACACAAAACAGTGAGTTAATAACCTGATCTTTCTTTGGTGAATGCGTATGGTTGTGGAATTATGATGTTACAGATAAATTATAATCAAGACTTTGCATATTAAATGTACAGCTAAAAATAAGATGAACGATCATTTTGTATTTATAATAGGGATTTTAAATGGTTGACAGTCTCTGATGACTCATGTCAGCCCTTTTCACTTACCCTAAATCACAAACCATTATTCCACCCACCAGAATTTCTCTGTGATACTTAATCCTGTTCATACATTGTTTCTGCAGAGCCTTAAATCAGATGAAGAAGTGGAAAGTGCTAAAGAACCACAGAATGAAATGTTCCCGGCACAAGGTAGAAAATCAGTGCTCCTCTGTGTAAAATGCTTTTGGGGTTAACAGGCTTTCTGACTGTTTATGGCCCAGATCCTTTGTGACTAGAAATTCAGTTATGCCAGCTGAAGAGCTGACCCTACGTTTTATTCCCGTCCCTCAGGAAAATCTGTTGGGGGGGGCTCCTTTTTGCAGCATTGGTTTAGAAAAGACGAACATCGTTCTTTCCTTGTAGACACAACTCTGTTCGAGGTGATGCTGTGGTGATCTGAAGTGCAGTGAGCTTTGCCAGGCTTCAATTCTTCCTACAGCTGCCCTATTAATCTTCTAAAAATATCCAAGATGAACTCCTGCTATTTAATTAGGGAGCCCAGAATCGATGAGAAATGAGGATCTCTCTAATTAAGGTTATGACACCTTTCTAGTCTAATCCAAAATTTAATCCCAATCACCTTTTAGCTTCAATATCTTTGGTGCTCCCAACAATACATGTGATCTGTGGCCAGAGAATTTTCTTTGGCAAAGTTTGGAGTTGAATCAGAAGCATCTGATTTAAGATCCCTGATAAGAAATTTGTTGGTTTTAAAAAATAAATGCTCTCCCTATAAACACACCTGATCTTTAGAATATAGGGTCCTAAGGACGAAGCTTTTCTTTGCCGAAAATTGAGGTTTTAAAATAGTGCCATGGAACAGTACTTAGAGGGCCCCGTCTAGCTCTCATTGATGTCAGGGGAGACGCTCCCGTTGAGTACAGTGGGAGTTGAGTCAGACCTGTAGTGAGCTCTTCCTGGTGGGCCCCACGTGCTCATTAGGAACAGTAGTATCTCTCTGTTAGTGTAACTGATACATGGTTAATAATTTTAGGCCAAACGAGCACCTGGAATCCTGACCTATTTGACAGCCCCCGGCAGACAGACAGCCCTTGCTTTGATATGACAGAGGGTCAGATTCGGGGCATCTGGGAAGAACTGGATATAGGGAACACTGGCTACCTCAGCAAGTGCGAGCTGGCGACGGTCTGTAAGAATATTGGGCTCAAAGAGCTGGAGCAGGAGGTGAGTTGGGGGCGGCATGGAAATGAGTCCATTGGGAAGGCAACCTGATTAGTAAAAGCACATCGTCAGGGTAAATGGCTTTCAGAAATAAATCGTGACGTCTTCAGACGCTTGCAAATATGCTTCAAGAACATAGCCAGATCCTTAGCTGGTGTCAGTCAGTGCAGCTCCATTCACCTCGGCGGAGCTGTCTTGACTAGCTGAGGATCTGGTCTGTAATATGTATGAAGCAATTAACAGTAGCCTCTTTGAACCCAAAACCTGAATTCAGTACTGATTTCTAGCCAGCCTTGTGGCACACAGGGCATGTCTCTCATACAGTGCTGCAGTGACGCAGCTGCACCAGGGTAGCACTTTAGGGAAGACACTACTAACTCCCGGGAGAACTTCTCTCGTTGGCGTAGGTAAGTCCTTTGCACGAGCGGTGATAGCTCTGTCGACAGGATTTTTCAATCCCTGAGTGACGTAGTTATGCTAAGGTAAGTTTGTGGTGTGAACTTGGCCTGACACTTCTGCATAGTCTGATACATTTACATCTGTGGGAAAAGACTGTTTAATTAGCCAATTAACAGTGCACCCTCTGCTCAGTTCAGCCCCAGTCCTGCAGTGTGGTCCACACCGGCAGACCCCTGCATGCGCATGGACACCCGATGAAGTCAATACCACATTGTCACAAATTCTTCTCTCTCCTGGGTATATAAACTAATATGAGATGGAATCAACCTACAGTTGTCCCAGCCCAATGGCTACATGGGGATTGTAGCTAAAGCACTGGAAGTTGGGAAATCTAGGTTCTAGTCTTAGTTCGGTGAAGTAGCTGGTTTGCAGAGCTGAGCTCGCATTCCCCAAGTGCATTTGTAAATACAGTGCGATGACCTGTGTCTGGTGTGTATTGTTTTTATCCCTAATTGGAGCAACTGATGTGGACTGCGTGTATCTACATGGAGTCACTACATGCCTTTGTATTTACTGGAGTTTCTCTTTTGGTGTGGAGAGGTGGAAGGGTTCATTCTTGTTTATTGTCGATTCTGTTCGTTATGTAAAAACAATAGGGAACTTTAAAAAAAAAAAAAAAAAGATGTTGGTTTCCAGTGAATGAGTCTGGGATCTTGCATGTGGCTGATGTTTCCGCTAACTTTTTCCCCCAATGGTTTTCTGCAGGAACTAGAAGATTTATTTCGTAGGCTGGACAGAGATGGAGATGGCAGGGTGAGCTTTCAGGAGTTCGAGCTTGGCTTGTCCAGCCATGGGCCTGTTTCTTTTCCTGTTTTTTCCACGCCTGTCAAACAGCCCAGACAGCTGCCAGATCACCAGGTGAGTCCGAGGCAGGACTCCCAAGAGTCCTGGATATAACTCCGAATGTCAGGCCTGGCTAAAGAGCCTGGGAGCCAGTAGAAAGACTCCCATTGACTTCCCTGGGGTCTGGATCAAGCACATTCTAGTGCCTGACAAAACACAGTGCTCTGCGTCAGATGCTTTCTGAGCAGAATTCCCAGGGAGGCTCAGCTACCAGTGTAGAAGGATTTGCCCCTCTCCCCTGCAAAGAGGGGCACCCTGACTGATGTTTTACTGCTTACAGCTCCTCCTGGTCCCTGGGAAGCAGAGCTAGCCAGAGCCTGTGCACTCCAGCCACACCCCTTCCTGTTCTGGCTGTGCCCTCACTCAGGTGTCCCCTGCTGACATGTCCCTTGTGCTGCAGACTGGGAGTGGGGCTGGCACAGAGCCCTTATGCCAGTTCTGCACCTGGTGGGGCAGTCCTCTGCGAGGGTGCATTCTGGAGATGGGGGCTTTAAGGCCTCTTACACTGCCAGACTGACATCACGGGGCCCGAGTGTAACAGCCTCAGGCCTCCTGAGCATCAGGACAGGTTGTGTCCAGCCTGGTGATGATGGGAAGGGCGGCGTCTGGCACCCCCTTCACGCCCCACCTTTGTGCACCAGCCCGGGCGGAGCACAGTTCCCGCTGTGCATCCCCACATGTCTAACTAAATCACTGTCCCGAAGGGCGTGCCCTAAAAACACACACGCTGCACGGCATGGCGGGGCTAGGGCCGGTGTTGGAACGTCGCTCCCGAGTGTCCAGACTCCGCGTGAGTTTTAACTGTGCCGTCTGCGTATTTCAGTAGCGCTGTTCTCCTCCTACCTGTCATGGGAGCAGTCTGTGAGCTGAGGGATCCACATGTTGTTTATGGCCTAGTTAAGTCAGTGGGTGGCTGGTACAGTCTCTCTCACACGCACAATCTCTTGCTTCCCCTGGCACACCAGCGCTTTCACTGCTGTGAGAGGAGTCTGGATTTTCAGGTAGTTCGTGCTGTCGAGCTTTGTTCCCAGCTGCTAAAGAGGCTGGTCCTGGGCCAAGGAATGCAGCTTTCGTTCAGCATCGAAGAGGCCCTTTGCAGTTGCTGGGTTTTGCTGATGCTTGGCTCTTCAGAGATCTCTAGGGGCTAGTCTGCACGGGCAATGCCAACGTGCTGCTGCTCTCCCAGCAGTCTAAAAACACCTCCTCCCTGGGGGGCCCAGCTACCAGCGCTGGGCCTGTGTAGCTGCCCAGATACTCCACGCCGGCGCCAGGGGTGCTTCGTGCAGACGCGGCCTACTAGCCCGCTGGAGACCCCGGATACGTACTCGAATTGCTAGGCCACGCTGCAGTCTCTCTGCTGGTGCATCTTTGTGCTGTTGTTACTCACCCTATGCCTGCCTGGGCCACAGTCACATTGTCGCTTGCAGTGTGGACACAGTGAGAGGCTCATGTAACTGCCTCCTGTCTGACCGGAGAGAGGAGGGAAACCCTATGCCGCTGGAATGAAGAAATACTGCTCCAATTATAATGTCAGCTTCAGGACTATGGGCCGCCCTGCCCTTGTGTTGACTCTGGATATGTCTACACCGCAATCCGAGGTGTGACTGCAGCACCTGTAGGCACACCCGCGCTAGCCTTGATTCAGGTAATAACAGCAGTGAAGCTTTTTGTGTACAAACACAAGGGTCCCGGCGTGATTGCGCGGCCCATGCTGCAACTTCCCTGCTGTTGCTGTTCAAACTAGATCAGGTGTGTCTCCATGTGCTACGGGCATAACCTCCTTGGGAGATCATCTCGCTGGTGCATGGAAATCGGCGTAATCAATGTTTTCTTACTATAATAGCAATAAATATTTGATACTCGGTGCTTTTCATTCCCAAGGATCTCCAAGTGCTCAGAAACTAACCGTAGCACTAAAATGCAGCTACTTCTAGTCTGGAAACAGTCCACGGGCCCACTACGTAACCGTGGGGGAAGGAGACCGGAGGAAACCATTACTCTTTCCAAATAGGCCATGAGATCTTTTGGCTGAGGATTTCACTGGGGATTTCAGGGGACGGCCTGAGGAGTGAGGCACTACTCAGCAGGAGTAAGAGTATCAGAATCTGGCCCTAGGTGTGCCCTTTTAGCCACGCTCTTTGTAGCTTACCCCAAGATGTTCTCGGCTCTGCAGGGACGTCCTGGCTATCAGAATCCAGTCCTTGGAGTAAATTGCACTGAGCTTAATTTGTCTGCCTCACATGTGCAGGGGGCTGGGTTGACCCATCAGGATCTGAACCTAGTTTTGGGGTTGTTCCATCACCCCCACACCAAACGAGTTCCACTTTATCTAGCGACTGACACTTCCAAAGTGCTCTGCCAAACAGACCCAACTGATTCTGCCCAAGACTTTGTGGTGCAGGTCGGTATCGTGATGCTCTGCTACATCTGGGGAACTGACATACACACAGCTAAGGGCCAGAATTTCAAAAGTGGCCTCTAATTTTGTAGGGTTGGGTGCCCAGCTTCAGACCCCTCCACGTGACTTCCAAGAGATGCAGAGCAGCCCCAGCTCCCCCAGAGTTCATTGAGACATGCTGAGCATCCACAGCTCCAAAATTCAAGCTCTTGGTGTCCAAAGCTGAGCGTTCAGGAATCGGCGAACCCAGAAGGGGAGGGCGTTCTGGAGAATTTGAGCCTAGGTGGTTTGCCCAAGATTCTGTATCAATGTTACGGCAGCACTGGGATTGAACTCGGGGCTTCCTGGCTCCGAGCGCCTAGATCCTGCTGCTTCTTAGCTCAGAGTGTTTCCGTCTTCTCCAGTATTTATTACATGCCAGCAGTCTGTTTGCAGGACTGAAGTGTGTGTTCTCGATGCCTCAAAATGCCTTGCTCAGCTGACTCATCTCAGTTGATTTCCAGGCTTCCGAGGAGAATGGGCTTAGAATTGCTACTCCGTTGTTACTGTCCAGCTACGAGTGTCTGCGTCCCTTCTCCTGCATCAATGACGGCAGCGGCTTTGCGAGTCCTGCACAGATCCTCTCCATCTGGGCCCAGGAAGGAGTTGAAAACTGCAAGGAGATTCTCAAGGTTTTACAGATTACTTTATTGATTGATTTTAGAATTGCTTTTCCGTGTTACTGCGAGCCCTCTAGCTTCCTGCTTATGGGGAATGGAGGAGGGATGGCAGATGCCAGATTTGCATGGGGATTTCTATCATCTGTAGCCAAGGGGTAATTATCTGAGCACTTCCTTATGATGGGCCACCAGCCTGGGAACCGAGGGGCACGGTCTGTACTCAGGGGCATAACACTTTGAGATGTAATTTCTTGTTCCCTGTCCTATATCACCATCCCTGTCTAACTCCAACAGAGAGGCAAGTAATTCAGCTTAAAACATTACCGTAGGAGTCACTATTATCGGTGTCTCTTGTCTTGTACTTAGATTATCAGCATCTTGGGACAGGGACTGTTGCTCTGTTTTGTGTTTGTACAGTGCTTGGCACAGTGGGATCCTGGTCCGTGCCTTCTAGCCACAGCCACAAAACAAGTAATGTAATAGCAATAATAAAGATGTGCAAAGCTCTCTTTTCTATTCCCTTGTCCAGTTGCTCATGATTTGCTGAAATGTGGGCAGACATTGTTCGGTTTTAGGACTGCCTGTCCTGGGCTATGATCCGTTCCGCATCGCATATTTCTCATGCTGCTTTGAGCAACCTGACGATGATTGGGGTTGTGAACAACAGCAACCTCCTGCTGCTGTTCGTGTTCCAAATAAACGTCAGCCTTTGCCCGGTTCGTGATGAGGAGGCCGGGTCCCGGCGTCTACAGGGCTGGGTTCTTGAGCCAGTGATCTAGTGCACAGCAAGCGCTATTCAGTAAATGTTCTCTGTCAGACCTGCTCTGCGATATCCGCTGTGTGCACGTAGGAGAGGAAGGATGGCTCAGTATGCTAACCTGGGACTTGAGAGAGCCAATTCCTTTCTCTCCTGCAGACACTTTGTGTGACCTGGGGCAAGTCACTTAGCGTCTCTGCTCCCCATCGGTGAACACAGGGGAAGTGCTATTTTAGGTTGTGAGGCGCTCAGGTGCTCTGGTAATGAGGGGGTGGGAGGCATTGCGTACCTGAGAGAGAGAACTTCAGGGGGCTGTTCTTGGATTTTTGCAGAGTCTGGATTTCAGCCTGGAGGAGAAAGTGAGCCTGGCGGAGCTGGCTGTGGCCTTTGACAACGAGCTGATGGTTTCCAAGAGTGGAGTCCAGCATGCAGCCTTTGCTTCCTACAAACATGAGCTGAACTACCTAGAGTAAGGCGTCTGCTCTTCCCTGCCCTGCTTGGCGGGGTCTCTGTACTAGAGCCGACAAAGGCTCTTATTTGTTTTGGTCTCAGGCCAGGTGAGACGTGTGCTGGACGTAACTGTGTGTGGGCACTCGTGGGCTCCTCTGAGGGGGTGCTTCTCTCCGGATGCCGGGAAGCCCTTTGTCATACTGTCAGCATCATCTGCCTGTCCTTGCAGGGCCCAGGTGGAGCAGGTCTCCAGGGAGCGAGACAAGGCAAGGCTGGACTTGGAGAAGGCGGAGAAACTAAACCTGCAGCTCGTTAAGGAAGTGGATGATCATCATGAGGCCATGGAGCACCACCATGAGAGCAAACTGAAGTATGGGAGAGCAGCCTGTGTGCCTGTATACAATGTCTCCTGTGGATTGGTACACAGACAGCCAGATTCTCTGTCTGTGTGACCTGGGTGCAGCTCCACTGATCCACTCACTTCAGCGGAGCTTTGCCCATTTACACCAGGTGTGGGTCTGGTGCTCACGGATTTCAGCATTAGCAAGTAACCTGCATGTCTTACGGTATGCATGGTGTGCAGCCCCATTGTGAAGTCGAATGCTGCCATTAGGCTACGAAGATTTGAATAAGTTCCTAGCAATGTGACTGATATTGACCAAAAACTCACAAGAGTTTGAGCACTTCCCCTTTTATAGACTTTAAGGCCAGAAGGGACCATCATGATCATCTAGGCTGACCTCCTGCACATCGCAGGCTACAGAACCTTCCCCACCCACTCCTGTAATAGACCATAACCTCTGGCTGAGGTACTGATGCCCACAAACCATGGTTTAAAGACTTTAAGTTGCAGAGAATCCACCATTTACACTAGTTTAAACCTGCAAGTGACCCATGCTGCAGAGGAAGGTGAAAACCCCCCAGGGTCTCTGGTAATGTGACCTGGGTGAAAATTCCTTCCCAACCCCAAATATGGCGATCAGTGACGCTGAGCATGTGGGCAAGACCCACCAGCCTTTGGTATTTGAAGGGAAATATAGGTATTTTCACTCCTGTATCAGAGTGAGTTCCCTATCTGAGGAGGAGCAGAAGTGATGCTCTAATAACGCTTTAATTGGTTGTTTTGGGTTTTTTTCAAACTTGAAAATAAAATTTGACTCATTTTCCATGTAGCTTCTTCCTGTCCTGTTTTTATTTATATATATATATATATATATATATCTCACACATACACACACGCACCCACCCACCCAGCCTAGAACTCTCTCACTCACACACATACACGTTTTGGAGCCAGTTATTAGTGGATGAGAGCAGGGGGAAGTGACCATTTGAAAGACAAGATGCGGGTTTGGATAAGGAGTGGCCTGGGACTCAGGGACCCTGCGAACCCTGGGACAATTCTCTTTTTCAGAAGAGACACTTTAGTCCAACCCAAGTTATTGGGCTCAGTGCCAGGTAACTGAGTGAGGGTTTCTGCACTACAGGACGTCAGACTAGATGACCTAATTGCCCCTTCTGGCCTTAAAATCTATGACAATGCCGAGGGTGGGACTTGCCACAGCATCTATGTGACTTGGGAGCACAAGTGCATTGAAAGCCTGAGAGAATTGTGCTCCCAAGTCACGTAAGAGCCTTTGGGAAATCTCAGTCTTCACAGTCACTTGCCCATGGTGGCTTTCTGCTGGACACTGAGCAGGGACGCTTGTCTGTTGCAGAGATCTGGAGCAAGACTATCGAGGGAAGCTGAGCATTATTAAATCTGACGTGGAGACAGACCGAGCGCTCCTCTTGCAACAAGTGACTGATCAGCAAACCAAACTGGAAGTGGATATAAAACTCCTCCAAGGCGAAAAGACCAGCCTGAGGGAGAAGCTGACCTTAGCAGTACAGGTGAAGCCACTACCCTGGGAGCCTATCGCTGCAAGGGGGTGCCCGATGTGCAGTCTGTGGTGTTCCTGCCGGATTGATGGGAGAGGCCGGGAGCCAGGCTAACATGGAAAACCCTCCTGTCTGAACTCAATCTTTTTGCTGGCCCTGCGGGAACTGTAACCTTTTTAAATAGGACAGAGGAGGTAGAAACACACACCCGGCAACATGCTCATATCACCTAGAAACAAACCCCTCCCCGCGAAACAGAACACTGCCCACACACCTCCCTCCTGGGGAGAGGATGAGAGAGGCAAGCCACACGTGACAGACCTTCGCCATGAATAAGAGCCCATAGAGAACAGAGTAGTGTTTAAAAGCAAGAAATCATGTGGGTTTTTTCTTCTTCACATCTCCTGATCAGGGTCTTACACTAGCCCAGCCCTCCCCTGAAAACATTATTGGAAGGTTATAGAACAGAAAAAGGGATTCTCCCATTAAGTTAGCAGCTCTTTCCATAAGGTAAGCGACCACCGCACCGCGTGGCTGTGCTCGGCCATGCTGATGGAGCTGTGTTTTGTGGGCAGGAACACGCTCCAGAAGAATTGCCCAAACTGGCTAGCTGCATTATGGATTGGAGTGTGCGTTTGTGAAGCATCAGGGAATATAACGGTAGGTCATTGCTTCCAGGCTCTGATGGCTTGGCTCTCTGCCATCCCATGTTCCTGCCTTAAAGCTCAGGAGGGAAACCCACTGAGATCTGGCTGGGATGTTAATGGTCCCCGTTGCGGGTCAGGCACGCCCAGTCCCCTCCCAGGGTGGGGCACAAGTCTTGATGGGCCTGCGGTCATGCCTGTGCACCCCTGGCTCAGGACTGTGCGGCCTAGCAGTCAAAGTCAATAATTGCCCCCAGGCTCGGGGCAGAGTCAGTCATTGTCAGGATGGGCCACCACCTCAGGGGGAGCAGCGGCCAGGATAGGGGGACCTGGGCCCTCCCTCTCCACCAGGTCCCAATCCAGGGCTGTGTCGGTGGCAGGGTTGCCTGCCACCAGCTCGGCAGGGATCCGGCCAAAACACGCCAAGCTAACCTCTGGTTGTCCAACCAACTCCCCGCAAAGACTCCCTGGGTTACTTCCTACCCACTTCTACGCATCTTGTGGCTTCCTAGTTCCCCCAGTTCCTTCTCCCTCTGTAACATCCAGCGCCTGGGGGTTGAGGGTTGCTATCAGCTGGCTGGCCTCCACGTCGTGGAGTGCCTACGGACCTTCATCAGGGGCCAGCAGCATACCTCCTTCCCCTATGGTGGTCTGCCCAGACTGAGCCAGGCTGCTCCCTTTTATACTGGTGTTGCACTTCGAGCATGCCTAGTAGGGCCGTGGGGGTGTGGTTTCCTCAGCCCACAGTGAGGGGTTAACCCCTGCAGTCCCAGTGCAGGGCATGCATGCCCCTTCACAGTCCCCTATTGCCTGAGATTACATCTTTGAATAGATTCATTTTGGATACTTAACAGGTTTAACAAGCACCTAATGTAACCTATTCCATGGCTGCTTTAGTCTGGGGTTTGTCCAGTCCATCACAAGTCCTTTTTTTTTTAATTTTCAGTGTAATCTCTGCCTCTTTCCCTCCCCTCCCCCCGCATGGCCAACAGATCAGAAGCAGGCTGGCCTTTGTGGGCCCAGCTGTTTTACAGAGACAGACCCCGCTGCTGCAAACACTTCGGCTTGTAACTGTGTGCACTTATGTGTGAATACAGCACCTAAAGTGATGGGGCTCTGATTCCTTGATTGGGGCCTCCGGGCGCCACCACACTAGCTGCAGCGAAGTCGTGAGTGTGTGCAGAATCCTGCCCTTAATGATCCTGATGGACGCTCCATCCTTTGAAAGCTATTTGTGCAGAGTGGACGTCATTCTCAAACCTTCCCCCTAGTTCAGCTACAACTCCTTGTGCAGGAGTCACTGGGCGAGACTCTCCGGCCGGTGAAACTAGGGGATCATGACTGTGTCTGCTGGCCTGAAAATCTGTGAGTCAAAAAAAAAGTTTGATTTTTTTTTTTCAAAAAGTCGATGGAAATATTTTTTACATTTTTTTAATATATAAAAAATTGAATTTTAAATGAAAATATTTGTAAAAAAAATATTTTTCACTAAACAACTCCTCCTCAGACTTCCCACAGAAATCCTGCTCTGAGTTGAAATATGGCCAAGGGAGCCGGCTGAGAACTTTTTCACTGAATAGTTTCCCCTGGGGAAAAAATGCAGTTTTGTCCAAATGAAAATGTTTCAGGGGCATGTCAGTTTTGACAGAAGAAAGTCAAAATGTTTCGGTTTTAGTGTCAGCATTTCATTCGAGAGAGACCAGGTGGGTAAGTTAATCTCTCTTATTGGACCAGCTTCTGTTGGTGAAAGGGACAAGTTAGTCCATGGTTTTTAGAGCCTAGCAGAGTTAAGCATTCAGGCTCCCAGGCTTGTCTTTTGAGGGTGTTGTGCAGGTTTCCTTTGAAGATGAGGACTGAGAGGTCAGCTATAAAGTGATCCCGCTGTGAAAAGTGGTGACCCACGGGTGATAGGGTGTTCTTGTCTTTTGTAATTTTTCTGTGCGGATTCATTCGAGGGCGCAGTGATTGTCTAGTGTCACCCACATAGCTGTCAGGGCATTTGATGTACTGGATGAAGTACACCTCACGTTGTGATAGGCATGTGTGGGACCCATCGATCTTGAAAGGTGTATTCTGAGGGGGTGTTGCTCACTGTAGCAATGGCGATATGTCTGCAGGTTTTGTATCTGTTGTTCCAGCAAGGTCTGGTGCTGCTTTGAGTTGGTGTGTCCTGGTCTGTGAGGAGCTTGCTTCTGATGAGGAGCTTGGAGAGGTTCGGGGGGATGGTGTTTGAAGACCAGTGGAGGGTGTTCAGGGAAGATTTCTACAGCCAGACACCCAGATACCACAGAACTTGCTCCAAAGAGAGAGTCCAGGATATGCACTTTCACACACTTAAAACCACCTTCCCTAACCAAGGCTGCCCCACCAGAGAAGTAGATCACATCATGGAACGGGCCGCCCTGGGAGAACAAGTCCAATACAAAATAATGTCCCCACTTCCCGACCACAAACCCTTAGTTGTCACCTGCCACCCCGCACTTGAACCCGTACATGGCATCATCAAACAGTTACAGCTGATATTTGATGGGGAGTACATCCTGAAAGAAATCCCCCACCCGGCCCACAGAAATGTCAGAATTTCCCAGGGAACAGAAATTCCGGCTCCCGACCAGTTCTCGAGGCGAGTGAACTTTCAGGGGGCTAGGTCCTTTGGGGGCTGCTGTGTCAGAAGGGGTGAAGGAAAACTGGGCTTTATAATTAAGGCTATGTTTTAGTCACGGGTATTTTTAGTAAAAGTCATGGACAGGTCACAGGCTGTAAACAAAAATTCACGGGCCCGTGACCTGTCCATGACTTTAGATAAAAATACTTGTCCTGAATAAGACATGGGCGGGGGGCGCAGGTGCTCGGGGGAGGGCCGGGGGCAGTCCGGGGGCACCGCGGGTGCTAAGGGAGGTGGCCAGGGACCCCCGCTGGTGCTGGCGGGGGCCGGGGGGATTGGGCCATGGCACGCGGCCCTGGATCCCCGCTGGGGGCAAGGTGGGCCAGGCCATCCAGGAGGTGCAGGGGGGCCATGCCAGTGGGAGCCGAGGAGCCCCCCACCCCAAAGTAAGTGCCCCCCATACTCCCCAACCCCTTGCCCCTAGCCCTAAGCCCCCTCCCACACACCCAAACTGCTGCTTCTGATCCAGGGGCTGCTTGGCTCGGGCAGCCCCTGAGCCAGCACCAACTGCTGCAGAAGTCACGGAAAGTCACGGAATCTGTGACCTCCGGGACGGACTCGCAGCCTTATTTATAATAAGCCTTAATTCTGCCCTGGCTGCCACCGTTCTGCAATTTAGCTCACGACTGTTGCTGATCATGACGTTCCGACTCTCACACACGATGTTCAGCATTCTCATTCCACCCTTCTGCTGGTCGTGCATTCAGTGAAGAGACCCGGCTAGATTTAGCAGCAGTCAGGGGCATCCTGGGTGGCCTTAGCCTCTCTGTGCCAGCATCACTCCGGTTTGCTATAGAGACTTGTGCTGCTCTTTCTGAGACCCCGATCCTGCAAGCTGCTGTGCACATGCATGGCCTGTGTCCCACTGAAGTCAGTGGGGCAGGGTCTCCGGTGCAGGGGTCTCCCTGCGTGGGACAGCTTGCAAAATCTGGGCCTAACTTCTTTGCACCCCTTTAACAACATCCGTTTAGCCGCAGAGCCAGTTAAAGTGGTCCAGTGCCCTTGCTTGGGTGCAGTCATACTGAGATAAGCCCCTTACAGCAGGGTCCACATTAGGGGGCTGCACTGCTTTAACTATTTCTGTCTAAACAGAGAATAACTAAAGTGGCACAAAGTCTGTGTGTTGACCAGGCGTCAGCCCGGCATGCAGAATCCGTGACGATGGGTTACGGACTCTGCCGAGACCGCCCTCATCGCTGTCGTGTTCTAGCATCCGCCAGTCACGCAGTAAGTGACGTAGCAACGCACCTGTCACGGGTGGCTCGTTCCCTCCTCCTCTCCCCGGGGGAGAATTGTGTGGGGCCTGCTGGGGCCGGTCCCTGCTGTGGGGAGGAAGGAGAGAATCAGCATGTCCTGTCTGAGGCTACACTGGGAGCTAGGGCTGTGTCTTCCCTCTCACGGACCTGGCTCAAGCGTAAATAGCCGTGTAGCTGTGATAGCATTGGCAGGAGAGACACACACCCACCTGAAACCGCTGCCTGGGCCCTGCTGTCGCTATTTACAGGAGCTCGATGGAGTGAGCGCACAAGCGGCTATGCCTGGCTCGCAGGGCAGACGTAGCCTAAAACTGCCTTCTCCCTAAATGTGAGCTGCGCTGGAGTAAACTGTGCCGTCATTCAAAGGTGTCCCACAAGGAAGGTGCATGGCGCAGGCATCCTCTAAACATCAGTACAGTGGGCATTAAACAAAGCTCCCTTTCCCCCCTATTTAAAGGAAAACAGGAGGTTACAGAGCGAGGTTACGGCAGTAGTTGAAAAGCTGTCGGAGTCAGAGAAACTGGTGTCGAAGCTGCAGAAGGAGCTGGACTTCATGCTGAAAGACAAGGTAACGTTCACTTCTTCAAACAGCGCTTTTTCTGGAGCTGCTCCAAAAATGCCTGGTGTTTTATGGGGAAAATGTTTCCTTTTTCCAGAACCCCTCTCACCAAAATGTTCTTTTTTGCAATGAAAAACTGAAATTTTTGGCTTTCAAAAATGTTGTTTGATTTTTTTTTAATGGAGTTTTCAGAAATGCAAAACTTGCACAGAAATACTTTCTTGTGTCCAAAAACCAGAAAATTTCTACTAAAACGAAACCTTCCGGTGGGAAATTTAATTTTGGTCAGAAAAATAATTTGAGCTCTAACCTTTTCCTCTGTCACTGCGATTGATACAGGAAGGTGGGCAGGGCTTGGAAAATGGACCTGACGCCCGTGAGGCAGTGTGAAAATATCTGTCAAGCCACACCCCCTCCCCAGTGGCCTCACTCCCTGAAATTTAATGCTCTACCCTGAGTCATGACCTGTGTTCATTCTATACTTTCTTCCCTATCTCAGATCATGGTGGATCTTTCCCTTTCATGTCTTCCGTGTCTGTCTCCTCTTTCCTTGCTCGCCTTTCCTCTCTCTCCCCCTGTGTTGTGTGCTCTGCTGCCGTCTGTTTTCTGACTTCATTCTTCTCTCATTCCCCGCTCCCCCGACCCAAAATGGCTCACTCTTCTTTTGCCCCACCAGTCTCTCCCTGGCACCCAGGGCGTAGACTCCAGACCGAGGACTAAACCTAGTAGCCAAAGGCTGATACAAAATGTGGACTCCCCAGCATCCTTTGGAAATGGCCCGGTGACCAGCCGACCCCCCTCTCTGGGCTTCCCCATTAATGGGAGCTGCTAGCTGCTCAGCTTTCTTAAAAATCAGGTCACTCTGGGCCTGGTCCAAAGCCCACTGAAGTTCCTGGGAGTCTTTCCGTTGACTTAAAGGACTTTGCAGCAGGCTCTTCTGTAGATGCCTAAATATTGACTTTTAGGAGTTTACCTTTAGGCCTTGTAGCACTGTCAGAGGGGTGTTAATTCCTCCTTTTCCTGTGTGTAATGCATTTCTGGGGCTCTCTCTCTCCGTGTTGTAGCTGGGCGTGGTGGATCCACACAGCACAGAGCTGCTCCTTCAGGAAGAACGATTTGCAGCGATCATAAAAGAATATGAGCTGCAGAGTCGGGTATGTACGGGCAGCGCCGTTCAAGAAAGCTGTTGTGATGACAGTGTGCTCCTTCCCTGGTCCGGTGAAATGCCCCATGCGCTCCACGTCCCTGGTAGGGGCCGGGGGTTGTGGCGGAGCCGTCCTGGTTCGGAGGTGGTGGAATTGACATGCAGGCTCTGCCCCGTCTTGGCAGAACCCCGCTGGGGAATATTTTGTGGGGCCTCCACACTAGCCCAGCTGGGCGACTCGCACTTCATGGCAGTTCAACACAAGGGTCTTTCAGCCCTCTCTGTTCTGGGTGCGTCTTGGAGTGCTTGGGATCATCACCCCCACCCCAAATTTTAAATCCTCTCCTTTCCCAGGCTCCCCTGCTCAATCTGCAGTTTCTGTACCCTAGTTCAGTTCTGCAGCTACATGGGGGTGGGGGGGAATGTTTTCAAAAGTGCCTAAACGCCATTTCCAGCATAGACGGTGGCATGTAGAAGCCTACGTCTCACTGAAAGTCAGTGGCACTCAGGCGCTGACCTCACTGAAAACTTCCCCCGTGATCTCAGTCACATCCTGGTCACTGCAGGGTGCAAATGAGTCCTGGAGCACACCCCGTTCGCCTGTGCAAAGGGGGAGGCCCTGCATAGCCCTGAGAGATGAGCACTGAGGCTTAGAATAGCATCTGGCCTCCCACATGGCAGCATGTTCTGTAGTCTGCAGAACCCTGGACCAACCCCGAAATTTTATTTGATCCCATTGTAGGTTAAAGCTGATAAAACACAAATGGAGCAAAAACTTGAGGATAGGTTTTTATAAAACGCCCCCAGTGTCACTAATGATTTCCCGAGAAGGGCTGGCGTGCCCTAAAGATCCCTTAGGGTAGCTGCAAGTTCATCAGAAACCACGGTGATGGGCATGATAGACAAACCTAGGTGCCTGGTTAAATTGATCCCTGGGAGCACAGGTGTTCTGAGGGGTGGGTCTTTTATTTTTCAGGAAACATAACTTTGTTCGAAGCCTTTTTTTAAAAAAGAAAGAAGAATCTATTGAGAAGTATCCGCTGTGTATGCCAGAATTTCATTCCTTTCTTTGTTGACTGGGTGTCTTAAGGGGCTTGCTGTAGCAAGGCAGTGTGTTCTCGTGGATAGAGCACTGGGCTGGTACTCAGACCTGAGTTCAGTTCCCAGCTGTGCCATTGGCCTGCTGGGTGACCTTGGGCAAGTCACTTTGCCTCCCTGTGCCTTGGTTTCCCCATATGAGGACCATGCTCCTGAACTCCTTCGTGAAGAATGTGCTATGGGAGTTACTGGTGAAAAGTGGTAGATAGGAGCTAGGTACTATTATTGTATTCGATTGAGAGTTTATTTCTCACCCTCCTTAGGTCTGGAATGAGCCCTTGCTCAAAGCCCTTTGTGTGGGGCAGTCCCCTAGAGGAGCCGTAGAGAGTCACGATTTCTTCCCTGGCACCCCTTCGCTCCCCAGGGAGTGACTTCCTGCGGCTCTCTCCTCCATGCTGTTTAATTCCCCTGCCTTGTGGGGACCACCCACTGGGACAGCAGAATGCTGTGCCACCCCTTATTCTGGGCTGGGTCTTGGGGCCACCATCTAGCCCTGTTCGTAAACTGAGCAGTAGCTGTAGAAATCGAGAGGGGCTGTTCTTATAGACCATCAAATGATGTCACCTCCCTACGGCCAGTGCAACTGTTACTGTTCCGTGTAGCTGTTGTTAGAAGGTATATTATCAACTCACCTCTTCCTGTTTTTCTTTCCCCAAATCTCACAAAACCCCAACTCCCCCCAATTCGGTGCTAGAGGGTGAAGGTGAGCACTCCTACCTTGTGCATGCATGATTCAGACATTCTTGTTGTGACTTTCACATCCTGCATGGTCTCTTGGCACAGCCTGAAATCTTGGGTGTTTTCAAGGATCATTCTCTCAAATGCTTGAGATTATGTTGTTAATTGACTCATGTATTTTGTATATCGTGACTCACTTAGTCTTTGTAACTGGTTTTCTCTGTGTGTGCTTTGAACATGCCAGATGTCTGCACTTCATGTACACTTGTCACCAGTTTTCCTGTTCCAAAATGCTAACTGTGTAGATTGCGGTGTTGTTGTAGCCGTGTTGGCCCCAGGGTATTAGAGAGACAAGGTGTGGGAGGTAATATCTTGTATTGGACCAACTTCTGTTGGTCAGAGAGACAAGCTTTCCAGCTTTCACAGAGCTCTTCTTCAGTAGATTGTTGTCTAAACAACCTTGGTGATACCACCTAGTACAAGGCGCAAGTCAGAAAAAGCACTTTTATGCATCCGATGGAGTGAGCTGTAGCTCACGAAAGCTCATGCTCAAATAAATGGGTTAGTCTCTAAGGTGCCACAAGTACTCCTTTTCTTTCTGCGAATACAGACTAACACGGCTGTTCCTCTGAAAAAAGCACTTAGCACATACTTAGTTTTGAGCAGGTGCTTACACCCATCCCTGTTGAGCGAAGCATTTACACATGGGCTTAAGTCCCATTGAAGTTACAACAGAAGGCAAGTGTGTGCTTAATTTGTTCTCAGTGTGACTCCCGTGCACTGCAACAGGAGAGAGGCTCTGTCCTCTGCAGAGTTAGCTCAAGCTAAGTTACTCCTCTAGGGTTGTCCTAGTTCCGGCGAGAGCCAGCCACCACGTGAAATAACACCCACTGGTTCGGCACTTGCTGGTGTGAACTTGGAACGGGGTTCAAGAATCCTGCATCTGGATTGGCTATCACCTGCCTGATTGACAGATGAGGGGGGTTGCCCATTGGTCCATACTGGTGTCGCTACATTACAGTGATCGATTAATGATATGACGTACGCGTATGTCCACGCGCCCCTTGTCCCAGGCTGGCTGACCCAGGGCCTGACTGCGGGAGGGAGGAGCACCCACCGTTTCCACACACCCCCGCCCCGGGAGCTGTGGGCACTTGGCACTTCTGAGGTAGTGCTGTGGCTGGTCTGTGTCGGGTTTAAATGAGATCTGCTGTGTGCCCTGCAGGAGTTACGGGATAAAAACGATGAGCTGCAGACGGAGCTAGAAAGGCTGCATTCCCACCTGCAAGAAAGCCAGTACCGCAGGGCCTGGCGGAAAATGAAGGAGACTAAGCTGGGAGGAAGGCTGCTACCTGCTGGTAACGTTACTGAATTGCAGGGAGGGGGAGACGCTATCCTATGTAAACTCCGTTCGTACAGCAAAAGGTCCATGAAAATTCGAGTTACGCTGAAATTGCCCCATAGTTCAGCACGTTACACTTGGATCTTGCAGCCCATGTGGCGTATAAAATCACTCTGTTTCCTGGCCCTATGGCTGAGTATCAGATAAGCTACAGCAATCCCACTAGAACTAGCTGAGGTCAGGGTGGAGATTGGGATTTACAAAGCTGACCGGGAGACTCCATTGAAACAACCAGGAGTTGTGTGGCTAAATCCCTCTGTTGGCTTTGAAAACCGCAGCTGTACACCGTTTCTCTGACTGTCAGAGCATGAGCCAGGCCACTTCCACAAGCACTTTGCACAGAGAGCTGCAGGTTCGGATGATGCTGTGCTGGAGGATCGGGCACATAGCTAATGAAAGTTTGCTTACAGGGTGGTATAATACTTCAAGGTATGTCTGTACTGCAATCACAGGGTAGAACTGCAGCGCTCAAGTAGACATACCCGAGGGAAATAGACTAAAGCTAGTTCGGATCCGGGAGCAGAAGGCAGCATGGAGTAATGGCCTGAGTAATTACCCATGGATCCAGGCAGCTTGCTCCGGCTTCACTGCTCTGGTAGCACCACTAGCTGAACCGATGCTAGCTCAGGGATGTCTGTGCGAGCTGCAGTCACCCCCTGTGCTGGCCACGTAGACGCAGCCTCTGGCTGCGACGCAGTGGGAGATGGACTGTTCCAGGTAGCATTGTACACTTGGTTTTTTGTTGTGCAGTGAGTTTGGCAGATTGGATTAAAATTCCTTCAAAAGTTTGTTTTTAAAAATAAGCCCTTTTCTAAATGACATGGTGCATTTCACTGTCTCCTTTCCTGCCCCCTCTCCCACCACACCAAAGTTACTCAAAGGCGTTAGACCACGTGGTGAATGGGGGAATCCTGCCAGCTAGCGCTGGACGCGTGAAGTGACTCCCTAAGTGTTTGGCTAGCCTGGCCTCGAGCACCTTTGGTGAGTTAGTTCATGGTCTGATGGACCTCGCTGCCCAGAGGGGCTGGTGCTGGGCGGGGGCTGCTACACCACCTGGCTGGAAGTGGTTTCCATCACATGCAGGGTTTACAGTTTGGTTCAGTGGCTCTCAGCACCCCCACTATACACATTGCTCCAGCACCCCTGCTCTCGTCTTTAATCCCCATGCGTTTCAGGGTTGGGGGGCTTCAGCTAAGCCCTGTATTTACTTGAGTGAAAACAGATCAGATGCCGTTAATCTTAGTTTGTTTCTAAGGTTAAGAGCTGCCAAATCTGGGGTGGGTGGGGAATGCGGAGTCTAATCTCCATGGCAATGCTCAGCACAGAGCAGACGCTGATAGCAGCGTGTTAGAAACTCCTAACCGCAGTCTCCGTTCTGAGGTCAGACCCATTCTGTGGAGAATGACGAATTCCAAGAATGGTCCATGGGCTAGGCTACGAGGCTGGGCCATGGTAGGACTCCCATGTCATTGGGAGCTCTGGACTGAGAGCCAGCGGCACGTGTGGCCCTTATGGAGTACCTGGAGCTCTCTGTCGCGGATGACTTAGTCGGTACCTGATTGTCAGATAAGCTACAGCGTTCCCACTAGAACTGAGGTCAGGGGAGACAGATCCTCACTTCAGGCTGTGGCTGTTTCTGCCCCTTGAGTCTCTTCTTCCCTTCTGCGTGTCGGTCCTTCTTCCTGTCTGTGTGTCTCCACGTTTTTTCCTTGGTATTTCCTTCCATGCAGCAAGTCCCCATTTCCACTCCCACCCAATCTCCTTGTGACATTACCCGGAGTGCAATCTGAACAGCTGTGTCCCCTCAGTTCTCCAACCTGGGGTGCCTTGCACACTGCTTTGCTGTGAGAGCAGCCACTCCTGACCCGCTCGCACCCAGCCTCCAGCATGTAAGTCACTCCCAACTGAATTACATCAAAGCTCCGGCCAGCCACTCATGAATTACATTACAGGGCAACACCAGCAAACTCCCAGTTTCAGACTTTCCCCCAGAAATGTGCGTCTCGTACTGCCCAGCTCTCTACTGGACAATACAAGATCATGGAAAGTCCGTCATTTTATTAATAGAAAATTATATGCACCAGCCATGTCACCTCAAATGGCGTGTCCCAAACACTTCAGTCCAAACACACGGGTCTAGGTAAAACAATAAAACAAGCTTAACAACTACAGACGATAGATTTTAAGTGATTACATGTAATGAGGCATAACGGTCAGAATTGATTACAAAGAAATAAAAGGTAAAACACAAACTAACACCTAACTTAACCCGCTAAGTGATTTCAAGGCAAAAGTCTCTTTCACCACATGTTCTAGCAGTCTGACTGGCTGAATTCCTTTCTGCCAGGATCCCTCCCCCAGTCCAGTGCTGCTTCCTTTGTCCTTCAAGTGCTGTTGATGCCGTGCGTAGAGATGAAGGGAGAGCTGATTTGAGGTGTCTGTTCCCCATTCTTTATACTTTTTCCTCTTCTTTGAGAATCATCCGCAGCTGGAGTTCAGGGGTCAGAAAGTCTGTGGGGACGGGAACCTCTAGCTGTTTCTTTGCCAAGATGTAAATTTCTCACTCACACCCTTTTTCCTGCCAAAGCATGGCCACTTAACCAGATGATGATCCATTTGATTTCATTGACACCTGGCTAAGGCATCAGTTTGCCTTTTGTCTCTGATTTGTGGTTTGTGGCTGCTTCCCCAGGTTTGGAATACATCTTAATAACATCAGACAGTAGAATCTTACAACTTTGCATACAATGTTGCCACAACTATTTGACCAGGACAACTGTGATCAGCAAATCATGAGTTTTCAAATGATACCTTACAAGGCATAGTTTGAACAAAATTTATCATAGTCTTGAAAAAGGGGTGAACGTAGAGTACACCCTGTCACATCCATCCACTAAAACAATGAGCAATTAAATAGTTAATGATATTTTAAATGTCACCACTGGCCGTTAGAACTGACACCCTGGTGAAATTTAATAGGGAGCTGAGGAAGTCACACCTTGTGGCCATGGTTTCAGGCTGCATGCAGACTCAGGTAAGAAAAAAAGGGAAGAAGGAGGATCCTGGGAACTACAGGCCAGTCAGCCTCACCTCAGTCCCTGGAAAAATCATGGAGCAGGTCCTCAAAGAATCAATCCTGAAGCACTTGCATGAGAGGAAAGTGATCAGGAACAGCCAGCATGGATTCACCAAGGGAAGGTCATGCCTGACTAATCTAATCGCCTTTTATGATGAGATTACTGGTTCTGTGGATGAAGGGAAAGCAGTGGATGTATTGTTTCTTGACTTTAGCAAAGCTTTTGACACGGTCTCCCACAGTATTCTTGTCAGCAAGTTAAGGAAGTATGGGCTGGAAGAATGCACTATAAGGTGGGTAGAAAGCTGGCTAGATTGTTGGGCTCAACGGGTAGTGATCAATAGCTCCATGTCTAGTTGGCAGCCGGTATCAAGTGGAGTGCCCCAAGGGTGGGTCCTGGGGCCGGTTTTGTTCAATATCTTCATAAATGATCTGGAGGATGGTGTGGATTGCACTCTCAGCAAATTTGCGGATGATACTAAACTGGGAGGAGTGGTAGATACGCTGGAGGGGAGGGATAGGATACAGAAGGACCTAGACAAATTGGAGGATTGGGCCAAAAGAAATCTGATGAGGTTCAATAAGGATAAGTGCAGGGTCCTGCACTTAGGACGGAAGAACCCAATGCACAGCTACAGACTAGGGACCGAATGGCTAGGCAGCAGTTCTGCGGAAAAGGACCTAGGGGTGACAGTGGATGAGAAGCTGGATATGAGTCAGCAGTGTGCCCTTGTTGCCAAGAAGGCCAATGGCATTTTGGGATGTATAAGTAGGGGCATAGCGAGCAGATCGAGGGACGTGATCGTTCCCCTCTATTCGACATTGGTGAGGCCTCATCTGGAGTACTGTGTCCAGTTTTGGGCCCCACACTTCAAGAAGGATGTGGATAAATTGGAGAGAGTCCAGCGAAGGGCAACAAAAATGATTAGGGTCTGGAACACATGAGTTATGGGGAGAGGCTGAGGGAGCTGGGATTGTTTAGCCTGCAGAAGAGAAGAATGAGGGGGGATTTGATAGCTGCTTTCAACTACCTGAAAGGGGGTTCCAAAGAGGATGGCTCTAGACTGTTCTCAATGGTGGCAGATGACAGAACGAGGAGTAATGGTCTCAAGTTGCAGTGGGGGAGGTTTAGATTGGATATTAGGAAAAACTTTTTCACTAAGAGGGTGGTGAAACACTGGAATGTGTTACCTAGGGAGGTGGTAGAATCTCCTTCCTTAGAGGTTTTTAAGGTCAGGCTTGACAAAGCCCTGGCTGGGATGATTTAACTGGGAATTGGTCCTGTTTCGAGCAGGGGGTTGGACTAGACGACCTTCTGGGGTCCCTTCCAACCCTTATATTCTATGATTCTATGATTCAGGTAGACGGCGCTGCCTTGGTTGTATCTGGAGTGTTTTTTCGGCAACCAAGCAGACTGGAGACTCTTTGTTAATGACAGCTAGGATTCCCCATGATCTGAATGCACCAGGGGGCCATGTAAATCCATCAAGTGAGTTGGATGTTGGACTCCTCGGCTCTAGATGCATGTAGAGCCACCACTTGTATGTCTTCCTTTTGTTACACTGAGTCATCAGAGACGGTTAATAACTCTGTCCTTTCTTCCCCTTGCTTTTAAGACGAGACCCAGAGAGGAGATCAGTCCCTTTTGGTGAGCCAGCAGCTATCTGCTGCAGGCAAAACCGGTAAGGAGCAGCTGTATGTGGGCGGTGATCGTGGCTGGTGTTTACATGGAGAGTATATTAAACTGGTGCCACATTTCTGCATCTACGTGCTTCAAATGGAACTCTGTCTCCTTAAATAATGTCTGCAGCGTTCCCAAGGAAACCAGCGCTCTCTGAGCTTGGGAGTGGCTTGGGAGTGGTTGTTTTTTCTGTAGCCCATTGCCTTGGGCTCAGTCTCGCTTCTTCTTGGAAAAGAGACGGGGTAAGGGGGGTGGATTTGGGAGGATGTACAAGCTGCCATTCATGGTGCTAACTCCCCATATGTCTGGCTGCTGACTAATGGTTTGACAGCATCCCCTGCAACCTCCGTGGCCTTTGGCTGCTGCTTTTGTGGCGTAGCTGGGCAGTTCTTCGGAGACTGCTCCTGCTGGAGGTTCCCCTGATCTAGAGCTGTCGGGGCACTCCACTGTCCTCTCCCGTGCAGGTAGGTGGATCCTGCTTGTCAGATTGTACTATAGCAGCAGGACTGTCCCTAACACCTCTAGTTCTTCGTCCACCAGTGATGCTGCATTAGGTGGATCCCTTCTCTTGTAGCAGGGGAGCTGTGGCAGCCCCTGGGAGGACAGGAAGTAGAGAAAAGGAGTACTTGTGGCACCTTAGAGACTAACCAATTTATTTGAGCATAAGCTTTCATGAGCTACAGCTCACTTCATTGGATGCTGTAGCTCACGAAAGCTTATGCTCAAATAAATTGATTAGTCTCTAAGGTGCCACAAGTCCTCCTTTTCTTTTTGCGAATACAGACTAACATGGCTGTTACTCTGAAGGAAGTAGAGAGTTTGTACTTGGGCTGCGAAGCGGGTCTCTCCAAAGCTGCCTCCATCACCAGCTCCTCCATCACACCCAGGACAAGCTGTGGATCTAGTTGTTTGTTCTTCGGGGGAGCTGTGGGCTGTCAGGTGTTTTGAGCACACCATGTGAGTGAGGATTCTGCTTTGTTGAGCACCCACTTACTCACCACTTTGAAGTTAACTCTCAATTTCCTATGCATTTGCAGCTAACCTAGTTACACTGATTTTCATGAGGGAACTGCCCGCCGTTCATTATCACAGGGATAGATAAACTGAAGACAATGTAGATAATACTAGTTCCCTGCAGCGTCTTACATCTTTGATCTGAAGGTTAACTGAACAGAGTGGCATACGTAATGTAAGGCAATTCAGACATGAAAAGGATTTAGCATCTACAAGCTAATTTGGTTACATTGGTAAACATCTAACAGGACTCAGGTACACAGACAAACACATTTAGCATCTACCCTTGATTTCTGTTACAACAAAGGAATGGGTTAGTGATGCTGGTCAGTAAATCTTTTTGATATTCACACACAAGTGAAGTGTGCTGCTTACAACTGCAATGCCTCTTGTCAAGCTGTTATGGGTCAGATGCAGGCTGGCTGGTTTGCCAGTGTAATCGTGGGGTGCAGAGCGATCTTCAGTTCTGCACTTGTGGGACCGTTTCAAAAAGCTGTTTTCTTTTCAGGCGTCCTTTTTGTAGAAGCAGGTGCCAGTCCAGTGAGTATAGAAACCGAGCTCATGACAGAGCAGCTGAAAGAGCAACTTCAGGACCTGAAAATACAACTGGAAACCAAGGTGATGGGGGGAGAGGGGCCCTGGGGAACTTACAGACGCTGGGGCAGAGCAGTGTGGCTATTTCCTGTCTGCATTCGGGTGACTCAGTGCTCTTCAAGGAAAGGAACTGGAGTCAGCTGGGGCTTGGTCCTACTTTGCACCACAGCTGTTCTAGAGGGAACGGCGCTCCTGATTCATGTGTGGTTCAGGTGGGGGAACTGGGGGGGACAGAGTTATAGGAAGGTGGGGCCGGAGAGATCTGTGCTTTTCCCCTCAGATCCGGGCATGGATGGTTCTCTAGGGGGTGCTGACTCTGTTTGCGGAGGTGCCAGGGAGAAGTCTGCGTGCCTTCCCGCACCCATCCCAGGGGTGCACAGGACGTCTTGGCAGGCAGCAGGAGTTGAAGCCACAGTTGGCTGTGTGGCTTAGGAAAGACTTGTAAAGGGTTTTGTTCATTTGCAAGGGCACGTCCTATTGCACCAGCCAGCCCAGAGGAAACGCCTGCAGATTGGACACACTTTAAACAAGGAGCTGTGTTTGTTATTGTCTCTTGGAGTTTCTTTCCTCTGGGATTTAAGAGGGATTCCAGGCGTGGTTCTTGCGCTCTGTGAGGATTCTAGATTCTCTGCCCTGTGTCACACCCCTAGTCCTACTAGCAGTAAAAGAGGGATTGGTTCACATGCGGGTTGGAAGGAGAAGTAGCAAAAGAATTCTGTGAACCCCTCCGTGCTTGCCTGAGTCACGGCTCCAATTCGCAGCTATTCAGACTCTATTGGACTCATTTTCATTGTTTCCAATGGGATCGTTGCCTTGTGGGCTCCTGATGGGGTTGTTGAGCTGCTGAAGAAGACACACACATGCCATAGTGCTGTCCTAATCTTGGGGAGTCCCGGCGGTAAATAGGAACAAGATTTTTCAAAACAATTTAGGGAGCCTTGGATGCTATTGATGCTAATGGGAGCTGTGAGTCCAAATCCCTTGGACAGCATTGTAAATCTCAGCCTTGGTGTCTTGTCTCAGATCAGGTGTATGTCACTGACCTCAGTGGGCTTTGGGCCCATAGTGAGCAATAAGGAAGGTCGTGGTTGGCTTCTGTGTGGATGTTCATGGGGCGGAAGGCGCTCGGTTCCTCCTCACTCCACGGAGGGGCAGGCACATGCTTCCCTGGTTGTGAAGATGTCAGAATTATTCAAAAAGCAAGAATACAGCATAGGATTGCTCTGCTTTTGTTGTAACCCCTGAAAATGTTTAACTGAAATAATAAATCCTATTGCCTTACATCGTCCACTGGCTTTAATAGAAATACTGCAGGGTTCCTCCAGGAGAGATTTTAAAATCAGAAGAGACCATTGTGGATCATTTAATCTGACCTCCTTGGTATCACTGGCAATTGCATTAGAATGTTTTAACCTAGGTTAAAGGAGGCCAGAGATCTTTGCAAACACTTTCTGTTCAAGCTAGGATGCTATAAATGTATGATTCCTAGCGGAGTGCAGAAAAGTGTATTCAGGAGTGCCTCGCTAACACAGAACTATTTTTCCTCTTGCAGGTAAATTACTATGAGAGGGAAATTGAGTTAATGAAAAGGAACTTTGAGAAGGAAAGGAAGGACATTGAGCAAGGCTTTAAGATGGAGATCAGCGAATTAGAAGAGCAGAAAGGTGACCTGGAAGAGCTCAAAATGAAATACCAGGAGGTAATTGATGGCTTGAAAGACCAGCTCCAAAAATCCACTCCAAGTCAGGAGCTTGAGAAGAGGTTTGAGAAGGAGAGGTCAGAAATGGAACAATACTATGCCAAAGAGATTTGCAACCTGGGACAGCGGCTGGCTCAGGAAAGAGACAAGCTGGAAGAAGAAATGAAGATGCAGCACAAGAACGAGCTACAGTTAATGAGGTCTGACACCCTTTTCTTTCCGGAGCGTGAGTGCATAATCATACAAGAGATTGGGAATGGATCCTAACTCAGTTCTGCTCGCCTCTATTCAAGCTCTTGTAATAGAGCAGGCTTATGGGATTGCAAGAGATGGGGTATTATGCATTTGGCTCTGAGAGGTTTCCTTATTTTGCAAGCAAGTCAGGACAGTGTAGCAGTCTGTGGATCTAGTTTAAAGCAAGAAGACTGTGCTCACCTTGTGTGAGCATTTCAATGTCTAGGCTCTCTGCAGGTTTCCCTGACACTGATGGGTCTCCCCGATGAACGCAGAATGTCTAGTATGTCCAGACGAGGGGGGGCCTTAACGAGTTCAGCTCTCACCAGCATCTTAATTCTTGCTGCTCCAGCAAACCGGCCTGCCCTTAGACTGATCCACAGGCAGCGAAAGTGGGTTTCGTTTCTCTTAATTGGCCAACCAAGGAATTAAGCGGCGTGTAGAAGAGGAAAGTAAGGGCTTTGTTCCACATTTTGGTCTCCTCCCTGCCCCCAACCGGGCAGCTCTTCGTTAGCTGTCGATTTGTTTTGCGCAATAGCTTATTCTTTGCAAGTGTGTGGGGGTGTGGGGGGAGGGAGAGGGGGAGATTCTCATGCTTCGTAAATGGAATCAGTTATGAAAAATCCAGTAGCCATTGTCTGCCCCTCTGCTGGTTCATCTCCTCTCCCATCACTCTCCACCTCTGCCCCTGGGCTTTGCTCAAACCTCTTGCTCTGTTGGTCCCTTGTCTTCCCACATTCTGTACTGTTCCTTGTCTGGGATAGACTCCGGGCTCAGGAGTGGGGCGTGTGTAGGATTTGGTGTAAAAGAACACTCCAACAAAGACTGAATTGGGCAACTGGCAATGAAGCCTGGTCTGGGATTAAAGAGTGAGTGGCACCTACTCCCATGCCTTGCTTGGTGAGCATAGGTAGGTCGCTTCGAACCTACCTATGTGTGGTCTCCCCAAATGGCCACTGCTTAATATTTGCATTATAATAAAGTAGGCTTGGTAAGCCGGTCAATTGACTAGTCAAATAATATCAATTGACCACCTACTATTTGAGCCCGGTCAAGTATTCCAGCAAGAATGCCTGGAGGTGGGTAGCGGCCTTCCTTTCTGATGGCCCATGGTGCCGTTCTTTCATTTATTAGAGCTACATTTCATTATGTTTTGCATTTTTCTGAGTTACAATAACTCGGGTAAGTCCCCTTTGATTGTACAGTAATTAGGCATAAGTATCGATCTGAGGCTAAACTTATTGGAGGCTTTTTGTTACTGTCCTAAAAAATTACTGCTCTGAAATATTTGACCATTATTTGGCCAGTCAAATGACCAATTATTTTTGGACTGGTCAAACGCCCAAACCTACAGTTGATGCCTGGTGCCTCGGTGGACTAGGCACCGGACAGACACACAGTGTGCGGGGTACTCCTCTCCAAGGAGTGTGCAGTCTCATTTGGCAAGACAAAGGATTATTCTCCCCATTTTACAGCTGGGGAACTGAGGCGCAGAGAGACTAAGTGACTGGTCCAAAGTCACACAGGAAATCTGGGGCAGGCTGCTACAGGTCCCCAAATAACAATTTCTTTGTGTGCAGAATGGAGCTGCACAGGGTCTTGGAAGATAACGCTTTGCTGAGAAGTAAACTCGGGAGATTTCAACAGGAAGTGGAGGATGTGGAAGAAGCAAGTAATAAACAAAGGTAAGAAAAGAACCCACTAACATTTAGCAGTTTGCTGAAGATGTTCGTCTGAGTTCCTTAAAAGCGAAAGCCTCTGTCGGAAATGGAACATACCCAAGTCCATTGTCTGAACAGGAAATCCACCAGAAACCGATAATTCAGTGCAAAAAATCCTAATGGGATGTGACACAGCAATTCAGATCTGGCTTTGAGAGGCTGCTTTGAGCTCAGAATTTCAGTTGCTATCTGGTTGTGAAGTCAGCTCAGTCATTGAGTCCTGGCTGGCTCCACGCTTCAGAGTGCCAGGGGGTTGGAGACAATTGGTGATACCGCTTCTGGCCCAACCCAACCTTCTGGGGAAGGTCTGACCAGCTCCCAACACAGGCAGTTGGCTGCAGGCTCACTGAGCAAAGAACTCAAGGCCAAGAGTGAGCCATAACTTTTGGGTCCCCGACTTTTACAGGGCAGCTGCTTGGTACTCTCTGAAAATCAGGTCCCTTTAAGATGTGTCCAGCTGGACACCTAAAATCACTAGTCAGGTTTGAAAGTCTTGGCCTAAATTGCTAGCACAATGTTATGTTGTGAGTCCTGGGCTAACGCTGGCATGATTACTCAGACTAGAATAACCATTCTCATTCTTTTAATCCAAACCAGTGTTGTCATGGTGTTCATTCTGTGCCCGGGAAGGTACTTTTACAAAAAGAGGTCTATGCTTTGCAATGATATGTGTTTCCCCTTCCAACAGGAAACAAATTGATGAATTGCAAAGAGAGAAGGAGACGGTGCTATCTGAGACAGAAGAGTTAAATCAATTGGTAAGAACCTACTAATGCTAAATGGCACTTAATTAGCCCTTCTGCTTAAGGATTTAGCAAGGCAAAGAGGGGCAGAGAAGGAGCATCCTGTGTATAACATGCAAGGTGTTTTGAGCAAACACTTGGATCTGTGCATTAATTAACTTGTCTCGGGACTCGCCCTGCTGACTTCAATTTGGTTTCAAAGCAGGCTGGGGGGTTTAGGACACCCTGTTCCCACCTATTTTAATGGGAATCAAGCACCCAAGTCCTTTAGATGACTTTGAGCATTTCAGGAGAGCTGGATGGGAAACGTTCTTCATGTCTCAGATCGTTTAGAGAGTGTGAAATTTTCCCTCATCTCAAAGCAAGTAGTAATTTTGGGTTCACTAGCTGAGGCCCCATAAAAGGAGCTGGATCTTCACAAAGCGCTGAGCCACCTGCTTTCGAAAAGTCATGTCTCTGCTAAAGTGCCTCAAAAAGAGGCCCCACAAATCACTAATCACTTTAAATTTTGGCTTGCTTTTTTTTCCTGTCTCCCTCTGAGACTTGTGGATGCGCGGCTAAGACCTTTAGACGTGCAGAGAGAATGATGCACAATTAGCTACTAAGCAGCACTGGAACACGCTCATAGGCCAGCGTTGGGGGCAAAATACACTGCGTGGTTTTGGGGCTTGTTGAGGTGATTTGAATAGCTTCTTCGCACCCCAGCGTCTGTAAAGGCTCCGCAGCCAAACTGAGGATCGGGCTTTCAGGGGTCTTTCAGGGGTCTTTCATTGCTGGAGATGAAAACAAATGTGCGTTATCCCCAGAATGACTCCCCTTGTTCCAAGGAATTAACTTCCTGCAGAGCTACTGTGCACGGCTTCTCTTGAGAGAGGGTCGCCGTGCACTCTTGACACACCCTCCCATCACACTTTGCCGGGGCGGCCACGTAAACTCCCCCCAGTTAGCGTGTGAACGAGCTGTTGCCATTGTGAAAGGGGCTTGTCTTGGGATGCTTTAATTCTGACTGTGTAAAGACACCCAGGTGAATCTGTGTGAATCCATCACCAACGTCCACATCCTCTTCTGTGCATGGCCCTGACGCCCCCCAACCTTCCCCTTCAGAACAAGACGTACAAGCAGGAGATGTGCCGGCTTAATGCCAGGACCCTGCAGCTGAGTAGCCAGCTGTCGGACCTCAGCCTCCAGAGCGAGACCAGCCACAGTACAATCCAGCTGCTGAACCAGAGACTGGCCCAGACGGTGAGCCAGAAAGAAGAGGAAGCTGCTGTTGCCAAGCAACTGCAAGCGACATCAAGTAAACTGGAGCTGGAGTACGGTCGGCATCAGTCAGCATGGCAGCGAGAGCGGGAGCTGCTCCAGCAGCAGCTCAGGGAGTCCAGAGAGAAGGTGAGACCTCAGCGGGGTGTTAAATCGGCAGCCTGGGCTTAGGTTGTCCTGGGTGGGGTGGAGCTCCTCCTCTCTCGGCGGGTGCGGGGTGCAGCCTGGCAGTGGTGCATAGGGAAAAGAAGCAACCCGTACTAGTTTGTGGTGCCCGCCTGGGTCTCTTCGAAAGGGATTTGCAGCGCTGCTAGCGAGGGGCATCTGGCCCTGCCTGGCCACAAACCTATGGCTGCTCTGTGGGGTTGAGTTTGCAGTTCCCTGCGTGGTGCTGCTCCAGCACGGTTGGACACGACACGCCTGTGGGCAGTTTGGCCTGTTGTCTCTGGGGCTGGCGAGCAGGATTGACACAAGCCCCCAGCCTTGGGCTGGCTCTGCGCCCATTGCAGTCACTGGGGAGTTTAGTCACTGCTAGGCTGAGCCTGAAGGCTTTAAAAATCCCAGCTGGCAGGTCTGTGAATGACGTTGCCACGCGCCAGGCTGATGGATGTGCCGCGACACAGGCACCCTGGGACCAGGAGGAGGGCGCAGGGCTTCGTTCATGTCCACGGAAACGAGCGCAGGAACCCAAGAAATAGCCGTGTCCTGCCCAGAAGGCTGGTCTGCGGGTTCCACGCTCACGGGCGCCCCCCACCCTTTGCCTAACAGGTCAGCCAGGTGCAGGAGCTGGAGATGGAACTGGAAGGCATGACGCAGGAGTGCCAGACGCTGCGGCTAATGACCGCACAGTTCAGAGAGGAGCTGGAGGAAAGCCAGGATCAGGTACGGACTCGATGCAGCTGCAGGCTGGGCTGGATGGTGGCTGGTCCTTGGCTGCATGTGGGGAGAGGCCTGGGTGCAAGGAGCCAGCTATAATTGCAGTACCTGCTCCCTGCTAGCAACCGCTGTGGTACAAGCCATCCCTGTGGTGAGCTGGAGCCGGTTCGCACCGGTTCGCTAGAACCAGTTGTTAAATTTAGAAGCTCTTTTAGAACTGGTTGTCCCACGAGGGAGAACCGGTTCTAAAAGGGCTTCTAAATTTAACTGGCCAAAAGTGTCTCCTTAAGCGCCGACTCCAGGGGTGCTCCAGCCCTGGAGCCCCCGCGGGGAAAATTTGGTGGGTGCAGAGCACCCACCGGCAGCTCCCAGCCCACCTCCGCTCCGCCTCCTCCCCTGAAGGGGGGGCACGAGGAGGGCCGCCCGCACTGCAGCAGGTAACCCGGGGTGGAGGGAGCACGCAGGGGAACCGCTCCCTGCCCCAACTCCCGTCCGCCTCCCTCGGCCTGAGCAGGAAGCCGCTGCCTGCTTCTCAGCCCTCCCCGGCTTCCCGCCGAACAGCTGATTCGCGGGAAGGCGGGGGGAGAGGAGGGGTAGAGAAGCAGAGCGGGGCGGTGGGTTCAGGGGAGGAGGCGGAGCGGAGGTGAGCTGGGGCCGGGCGTGGGGCAGGGAGCTGCCGGTGGGGGCTCTGCACCCACCAAATTTTCCCCGTGGGTGCTCCAGCCCCAGAGCACCCAGGGAGTCGGCGCCTAAGGGGCCACTTTTGATGTGATCAGTGGGGGAGCGGCTGCTCCCCCGCCCCTAGGAGCCAGAGGGACCTGCCAGATGCTTCCTGGGAGCTGCCCCAGGTAAGTACCGCCGGGACTCCCCTCCTCACCCCCTGGCAGGTGCCTCTGGCTCTTAGGGGTGGGGTGGGCACCCACTACGGTGGCCCACGAGACCCTCCTGCCCGGTTCTGGGGGCAGTCAGGGGACAGGGGAGGGGGGTGGATCGGGCAGGGGTCGGGGGGGGGCGTCAAGGAACGTAGGGGGTTGGATGGGGCAGGAGTCCCGGGGCGGGGGTGGGCAACGACCCCCTGGTGGGGTGAGGAGGGCACCTGTTGTTAAGATTTTGGCAGCTCATCACTGGGCGTGAGCGGGGGTGGGGTGGGGGGGGTTGGCTCATGTTGGCAGGGAACGGCTCCAACTGAGGGGGGGGTTAGAGACAACTGCCAGGTGTTGGGAGAAGCCCCCTCCCTCGGGGGGACGAGAACCAGAGGAGATGGTGCCCGATGTGCAGGCAGCCACCAGCTCCTGGGCGGTCTTGGACGCGTGGCTAAACCCCAAAGATGGCTGGGGCCCTCCAGGCCACACGCCCAAGAGTTATAACTTGGAGCAGGAAAACGACAAAACCGGCAAACAGGGTCACCAGGCGCCCTTCTCCGACATGAGAGGTCGCTCTGGGGTGAACTCCCCAGGCACCCACAGCCTTCTGCTCAATGGGAATCCTCCAGCCGTCTCTGAACCCAGCCTGTCTCAGCTCACAGACAGAGGAACCATCATCAGTCTCAGAACAGACCAACAAGAGCAACCCTAACCTTTCCCAGTGTGTCAGGGTCTCAGTTCTCTAGTCACAGGCCTTACACCTGTTACTGATGGCCTCTTGTAGGCAGGCCTGGTGCATCGGTTCTGCTCTTGTGACGGACGAAAGGGCAGCTCCCACAGGGCTGGGACAAAGCGACCTCGTCTCCCCCCCTGCAGCGAGTGGCACGTTCCTGGAGGTGCTCTCTCAGTCCAGGAGCGGGTAGTCCTGCTGATTAACAACATAGAGCAGGACCAGCCGTGTCTGACAGTGTTGCGTTGATGTTCTGTCTTGTCGAGGAAGCCAATGGCTAATGTCCTTCTGGTTGTCTGTACATGATCATTGAAATACCAGTGGGAGTCCCCTGGCCCCGGCCAGCCTTTCTGGCCTCAGTGACCTCACCCCGGAGCATGGCTCAGGCATGTAGGTTACACTGCTATCTTACAACAGGAGTACATCCAGTTCTCATTGCACCAGGCCCCGGAATGATCAGTGAGCCTCTTTCTGCACTGTGGGTTAGCTGGGAGCACCCCTAAATCCCCACCCTTTGTGACTCTGTTGCTGTCTTCTGCTGTGAAATGGTGCCTCTGTCTTCATTTTTCTCTTGTGCTGTAGTTATTAGAAGCCAACACAAGACTGAGCCTAGCCCAGTCTCAGCACAGGCAGGAGCTGCAGCAGCTAAAGGACCAGCTGGAAAGCACAGTCCCCAGGGACTGCCTCGCCCAGCTGCAAAGTAGGTGGGCAGAAGAACAGCGGAAAGTTCAGCAGCTACAAGAAAACCTCAGCTTCCAGGCCGAGCAGGCGAGCAAGCAACTGGCCGCCTTTCAGGTAAGAAGCAGGTGCAGAGATTTCTCATCAGCTTAGGCAGTGTGACCCAATGGAGAGGCCGCTGGCCTGGGACTTGAAATCTGGGGTCTGTTCCTGGCTCTGCTGCCAGCCTCTGGGTTGACCATGGGCAAGTCACGCCCCTGCTCTGTGCCTCAGTTTCCCCATCTGATGAATGAGGAGGATGATACTTCGCTGCCTTTGTAAGGTGCTTTGAGATCTGTGGCGAAAAGGGCAATGTAAGAGCTCAGTCATGGGACATACCATTAATCTTAAAAATCTAACACAAAGCGCAATCCATTGTGTTAATTCAAACTCCCCGAGTGCAGCCTTTTCATTGCGCTGTGTCCCAAACGCTGGGAAACAAACCTTTGCATGCAGACTGCTGAGCTTTGTCCCGCTTCCAGGAACAGGGCTTGCCATGGTGAGAGGCCGGACGCCTGTTTGTGTTCACTGGGGGAACGCCGGAGACTGTGGAGTGGGGAGCTAGTGCTGGGTGAGGGGTACAGGAGTGACATGTGCTTGGCGACCCCTGCTACTAAGCCAGTGGGCAATTGTGCTTGGTTCCATCGGGCTGGTCTCAGGGTGTGTCGCTTCAGTCCCAGTTTCAAAATGTTCCGATTAAATCAGACAGAGCAAAATAAAACGGAAAAGAATGAAAAGCGAGCCCAGCAGGTAATGCCAGCAATGGAAATCGAACCCAGGGAAACGTCAAAACAGAGCTTCCCAGGTCATGGTCCCTGCCTTTGGGGAAGGAATCTCCACTCAAAACAATTACTTTTGAAGACATTGCTGTAAAGTTCACCCGGCATCCTTTAAAGGTTTTGTGTTAATCCCTAAGAGCTTCCACATAAAACTCATTCAGTCCCATCTCTGCCACTTCATTTAACTTTGGGCCTGTCTACATTTACAAGGCTGCAGCGATGTTGCTGAGCGCTCCAGGGAGATGCTACCTACGCCAGTGTCCTGCACCTCCCCAAGAGGTGGGAGCTGGATCGACAGGAGAATCGATGTTTGCACTGGGGGTTAGTTCAGGTTAACTGCGCCGCTCAGGGCGTGGATCGTTCAAACCCCTGAGCAACATGGTTATACTGATCTAATTTCCTAGCCTAGACCAGGCCTTATTATTCCTCATTTCTAAGGTCCCGCCGGGGATCGTGGCCCCATTGTGCTAGGTGCTGTATGTGCAAATACAAACACAGTCCCTGCCTCCGAGAACTCTCACGCTAGGTTTAGACAGTGTGTAGAGGGGAATGAGCTCACGCCTGGGGGAGGAGGAAGGGAAGGACGAGGAGCAGCAGATGGGTGTCTGCATTAGCAGTCACAGGGGTTTCATTCACAGGTGGCCGCCAGTTCAGCCAGTGCCCGACAGGAGCAATGGCTAATGGAAAACCTGCCAGGCACGCAAGGTGCCGGGTGCGGCTCCCTGGTGAGTGCTGGGGTGGTTTGGGGCTGAGACCGGATGTGCCTTTGTTGCCGTGCATTGCAGGAGGAACACGAGAGGCTGCTCAGAACAAGGGAGGAGAGGACAGAGGAGCTGGAACGGAATGTGGGGAGCATGCAGATGATGCTACAGGAAAAGGTGACCCAGCTCCAGGAGCAGGTTAGTGATAGAGGGGCCTTAGCCATTGAGTGCCTGGCTGTGAAGGGCCGAGGGAGGGGCTGAGTTGTCAGGAGCTGCCATTTGTGCCTGTCGGAGGCACCTCTGGTTTTGTTTTTGCTGTCGGCCCAGATCAAACCCCCACCCGCAAGTGTGCCAGGCTGGGTGTTCACTGGATGAATCTCTGCTCCATTCTGCAGCACTGTTCCCCTCCATCCCGCTGCGGAGGGGTCTCTACTAGGCTGGCTGGGTGCAGGGTTCAGAGACAGCTATATCCCATATATTGCAGCCCCCCCGGGTCCTCAGGAGCCATCATGGCCAGAGGAGGGGGCCTTGCCTGTGTGCCACCAGACCACAAAACTGGCCTCTGCAGGATGGGGTTGCAAGGTCAATTTGGCGTTAGCTGAGAGTGGGCCATGGGTCTGTGTTCTTAGATTCACAGAAATGATGGGCTGAAGGGAACCTCAAGAGCTCAGCTAGTCCAGCCCCCTGCGCTGAGGCAGGACCAAGTAAACCCAGACCCTCCCTGATGGGTTTGTCTAGCCTTCCTTGGAAGCCTGTTCCAGAGCTTAACTCCCCTGAGAGTTAGAAAGTTTTTCCTAATCATAGAATACCAGGGTTGGAAGGGACCTCAGGAGGTCGTCTAGTCCAACCCCCTGCTCAAAGGAGGACCAATCCCCAATTTCTGCCCCAGATCCCAAGTGGCCCCCTCAAGGATTGAACTTCACAACCCTGGGTTTAGCAGGCCAATGCTCAAACCACTGAGCTATCCCTCCCCCCAAATCTCTAACCTAAATCTCCCTTGCTCTCCTCTGCACTCTCTCCAATTTATCCACCTCCTTCCTAAAGTGTAGCGCCCAGAACTGGACACAGTGCGCCAGCTGAGGCCTCACCAGCGCCAAATACAGCAGGACGGTTACCTCCCGTGACTTACATGCAGCACTCTTGCGAATACACCCCCAGCTGCATCACATAGTTGACTCATATTCAAACGGGGATACGCTATAAAACATCCAGATTCTCTTCAGCAGCACTACGACCTAGCTAGCTATCCTCCACCATTTGGAGCTGTGCATTTGATTTTTCCTTCCTAAGTGCAGTACTTTGCACTTCTCTTTAGTGCATTTCATCTTGTTGATATCTGACCAGTTCTCAAATTTATCAAGATCATTGTGAATTCCAGTCCTGTCCTCCAAAGTGCTGGCAGCCTCTCCCAGCTTGGTGTGATCTGCACGTTTTATACGTGTACTCTCTGTGATACCAATTAAGTCATCATTTAGCCTCTAGACTAAGGCTTCTCATTCTTCCTGTTTATTCCCAGACTCCTTGCATGTGTGTATAGACATCTAAAATTTTGAGCAGATTCCCCCACTGATTTTCCCCCCTCTTGTTGCTCCTATGACCCCAGTGTAATGTTCCATTTGCCCCCAACATTTAGTCCTCTGTTACAGGCACCTTTTGTTATACTTGCCTGGGGCTTTTGTCGCGTAGTTTAAAGCTCTCCTCGCTCGGCTGGTGAGTCCATGTGCAAAGATGCTCTTCCCCGATGCAGACTCCATTGGCTTCAGTGCCCTGCTCAGCCACCACAGAGGGGCTGTGCATTCTGCTCCAGCCCTTAGGGTGGAGTAGCAGCCGCAGAGGGGAGGTGCTATGGGGGGTAGCCCCACATCCTGGCTCTGGATTGGAGGGGTGGAGTTCATCTCCCTGCACTCCTCCTTATCTCGCCCCAGTGCCTGGGCTTAGTGCTGGGGAGAGAGCCCCACGGCAGTGTGTGGAATGTCAGTCGAGTTGGGATGGACGAGCTTCTCTGTACAGGACCCTGTCTGTGCTCAGCAGAGGCTAGATAAGAAATCGGGTTCTAGTTAGAGCAGCTGGGCAGCGATGGGCATCAGAGGGCCGCTCTCCTGGCATCAAAGCCTGCCCCATTGTCCAGGTGAAGAGCCGGGGAGTACCTGTTAATTGTGGCTCCATCTGATTCTGTAACAATTATTTTTACCAAACAAGATGAGGCCTAGAGCCTGACCCCTAGGGGAGTTCGTGCAGGGCTGCATGCTCCACGACTGGATCGCTAACACAGAATGGCCATTGACCTAATGCTGCTTCCTCCTGCTTTCCAGCGTGACAGAAACGTTAAGTGTGACCTGCTGCTGAAAGACCTGTACGTGGAGAACGCGCAGCTGGTGAAAGCTCTGCAGGCCACTGAGCAGAGGCAGAAAAATGCTGAGAAAAAGAACTTGGCCCTGGAGGAAAAACTCTCAGCCCTAACCCAACTGATTAGAAGAATGGCGCAGGCATCTCTCAGCGTGTGAATGGGCCCCGGTGCCGGGTTTGGCTGCAGCTGGAAGGACAATCAGCAGCGGACACCTGTCGCTGCACTCCATTATCTCAGCCTGGGAGCAGCTGTGCTGCAGGGGATCCCGGCCTGGCCTAGTGGAAAGTGCAAAGCTCTTTCGGCTGGGGCCTGCACAACTGGGTCACGGTGAACTCCCGTCTGCCGCTGGGATAGGCAGGGTTAGTGGTGGGTGGGGACACCGTATGTGCCTTCCCCAGCTGTGCCCAGTAGGGGAAAGGGCTTGCTGAGATCTCTCAGGGAGCTGGGGAGAAGGGATAATGGCCATAAGAGAAACATGCCCTGTTTTTTCAGTGGGAAAGCATTGAATGCTTGAACGCCGTTCAGGCCATTCCAGACGATAGAAGGAAGCTCTCTGCAGCGCGGGTCTGTCTTGGGGCCAGATGGTATTTACGGTAATTGCAACGTGCCCTCTGAGTTTGTCTGCACACTGGCAGTTTGTGTTGTACACGCACAGTTTTATACACAGAGAAAATACTCTTCACCCCTAAGTCCTGGCTGTCGTTCAGTGGCCCATGCTGCTGGAAGTGGAAGGACCTGCTCTATTTGTAGGGTCTTCTGCTTTCGGGTCACTTGGAATGGGAAATGGTTTTAATATTAAAATTACATTTTTACCATTGGTTTCTGGGTTGATTTTATTTCCCCTGGGATTTGGCTCTGCCCGGCCTTACAGCTTCCCTTGGATTCTAGGACACACAGACCCTCGCTTACGTCAAGTCAAGAGTGCAGGCCCTGGCCCAGCTGCAACGGCGAGCAGGAGAGCTGGCACAATGGAGCGACCTCTCCTTGTTCTCTGCCTTGGCTGTCAGAGGAGTCGCTTTGCTCCCTGCTCCTCTCCTGTGAAATATGGCTTGGCTCATCTCTGCTCCTTCCCCCTCTTCAGTGCTGCAGCACTAGGGCCCTGTGGGCAGGGAGCGAGGGGGCGCGCAGAATTAACTAATTAGAGCATTGGGGCTTTAGTTTACAAATATGGAGTCACTCATGTGGTTACCCAGCATGCAGAACTGAGAGGACATGAGGACTCCATACTTGTAAACTAAAATGGCTCTTTACTGAGAGAACTATTTACAGAAACGCTGCAACGGCCAACAGCACTCCAGCCCTGTGCACACAGATGGACTTTCAGCGCTGCCTCCAGTCTTCTCCCTCCTGTAACCTGTGCTCCTCCCTCCAAGTTCCATGCAGGCTGCTCCATCTTTCCTTTCCGAATTTTGTGTGTGTGGGGTCTTCTGTACAAGCATTTGCTGACTTGCTGGGGTTGCTAGTACATCACCTGGTCTAGGGATATGGCCTTTACCACAGCCCATTGTGGCCTGTTAGGCATTGGTCCTTCAAGTGTGCTGGTTGTGAAAGCAGTCTCCCACTTCTTGTTTATGGTCTCGCTCTGGGTGGGGGACTTGCTTTCACCCCGTTGCTGCCTTCATTCTGAGGATGCAGGGGGGCATTCTGTTCGCCTTCTGTGTTGCTCCTGTACCTCGTTTCTTCTGACTCCCCGACGTCAGGCCAGCTGATGCTGTGGCTCATTCTAAGTCTTCCTGGTCCTGGCCTTGGACTTGTCTGCTGCTACTTCGCAGTTGTCCTTGGTTGAGTCTCCACCGCTGTCCTGAGTCTGTAGCTACCTTGTAAGACATCTGTCCCACTGCAGCTTGGGCTGCTGCCTCTGGCTATTGCTTTGTGTTGCTGTTCAATGGCTGGACTCAGACCTGGTCACCTGCGCATAGTGACCTCAGGTCCTTGTCTCCTTTGTTGTAGGGGCTGCCTGCCTAGCATGGTGTTCTCTTAATCTCTTCTATGCCCTGTCTGTCCTCTGCGGGGTTGGGAGAGTCTTGGTTCTTTGGCCCATCAGTCCCTGTGCTGGGTGACTAGCTAGCCCCTGGGAGAGCGTAGTGCCATGGTCCTCCAGTGACAGGTGCAGTTTGTCCATTGTGCATTTCCTGTCCATTGTGCATTTGCAATGTGTCTGGGACTACATTGCAGCTGACTTCGCAATCCAGCGGGCATCGGATTGGTCATTGCAGCTCTGGTATTAGCTCAAACCTGGCAGGTGAGTGGCTGGTAGCCGCCTTGTGCGATGCATGTGCATGGAGAGTCTGGATCTGCTCATGTGCCCCTGCCAGTATCCTCCTCTTCGCTGAGCGTCTCTACGGCCTCAGTCACGGCACATGCTGCTGCTGCTTCTTGTGTTCCTAAGTGGGAGGCTGGGCAGCTGGTCTGCACGAGTGGCTGTCAGGGGTTGGATCCTTTCCTGCCCTGGCCGTTCGGAGGTATGGCTCTAAGGGTAGCGCTGTTTCTCCCCACTCTCTCCTGTAAGCTGGAGCCGTGTGGCGCACAAGGAACCCATCTCTAACCAGGGCCTCTCTTCTATCTGCAAAGTTACCTGTGAACTCCACAGTTCTCTGCTTGTAACCCAAGTACCTCATCCCTCTTCTGCTGCTTGGTTTTGTTTAAAAACCTCTTTCGCAGCACTTTCCTGCCAGGCGGGGTCGTAGGGGGTTTACCAGCTGTTCCGGGCATTATTTCTGGCGACAGCCTCACTCACTCATCCTCCTCCTTCCTGGGGCAGGGTCAAAAGCTTTACCTTCATTTCCTCCCGTTTCTCTGCCAGGCCAGTTACACAGACCTAGAGCGCCCCTCCGTGTCAGGCTGTGGAGGCTGGTTGGGGGAGGACGCAAGTGCTCCCAGCAGGCCACCGAGGAGCCTATCAGCACTGTCGGTGGTGGGGGAGCAGCTCAGCAGCCCCCCTCCTAGCAGGGCCCTATCCTGGCCTGGCACTGACTGGGGATAGAGCCAGGCCCCAGGGTCTGCCCAGCAGCAGCGAGTGGCTCTGAGCGGCACTGTGTGGGGGGCGTGTAGAGCCAGTCCTCGCGGTGCCCCAGGAGCAGGAGCCATCCTGTAGGGCAGTGAGTGGAGTCTCCATACCCCACCCCCAGGCTCAGCGTCCCTCCCTGCCCAGCATGATGGAAGGAGGAAGAGCAGGCACCAGTGTCTTGTCAGCAATACCCCAGCAGAGCCCCTCAGTGTAGGGGCCATAGGAGCTACCAACTACATCAGCTGGAGCCTGGAGCCAGGCCTCTGATGGTTCCCAAAGAACAGCAATGCATCCCTCTCGGCTGGGCGATAGAGGAGCCTGGCCTCGAAGGAAAACCAGGGGGAGTCCAGCCTTTGGGGCTCTATGGTAGCAGGGGCTGAGTGTCCCTCGTTACAGGGGAAGGGAACTGCCTGGCATTGATGTTAAAGTGAGGGGGAACCAGGCCCCTTGGTCTCCCCTGCAGGCCTGGGTAGCGGCCTGGTAGTGCTGGTCGGTGGGGCCCAGCAGATGGGGCTGGGTGTGTGGCAGGCGACTTGCTGAGCAGCTGATGGCCCAGCACAGGGCACTGCAGGGGAGGCAGTACTAGAATGGTGTTAGTGCAGGGAAAGGGAAGGGGGTTAGGAAATGAGCCACCTCTGGGGCTGAAGGCAGGGGCCCCCAGGGAAGGAGCCATGAAGACAGGTGGGGGCAGAGGGGCCACCTAAGGGGCCTGGTGTTAGGGCTTTCAGGGATCTTGGCTGAGGGGCAAGACCAGCCAGGGCTAGGAGGGTAGCAAGGGCCAGGCCAAGGAGCAGCCTGGGGTGACTCTTGTCTCCTTCAGGCTGCTGTCCCTGGCAGCAAGAGGCCCCATGAACCAGAGTTGTTGCAGAAAGATTAGAGAAAAATCCTCTCTGGGGTTCCAGGTAGCTGGCTCTGTGCATCCAGGGGCCCTGAGTGCATCACTCGCTGTCCATCTCACTCATCCCTGCTTGAGTCGAAGTGCGAGTGTAAAAGCACAGAGTTGCCAAAGGGGACTCACGCAGGTGATGCCCCAGAAACTACTTCAGACTCTTTAAAAGAAAAGGAGTACTTGTGGCACCTTAGAGACTAACCAATTTATTTGAGCATGAGCTTTCGTGAGCTACAGCTCACTTCATCAGATGTTTACCGTGGAAACTGCAGCAGACTTTATATACACACAGAAATCATGAAACAATACCTCCTCCCACCCCACTGTCCTGCTGGTAATAGCTTATCTAAAGTGATCAACAGGTGGGCCATTTCCAGCACAAATCCAGGTTTTCTCACCCTCCACCCCCCCACACAAATTCACTCTCCTGCTGGTGCTAGCCCATCCAAAGTGACAACTCTTTACATAATCAAGTCGGGCTATTTCCTGCATAGATCAAGGTTTTCTCACATCCCCCCCACCCCCATACACACACAAACTCACTCTCCTGCTGGTAATAGCTCATCTAAACTGACCATTCTCCAGGTTTAAATCCAAGTTAAACCAGAACATCTGGGGGGGGGGGGTAGGAAAAAACAAGAGGAAACAGGCTACCTTGCATAATGACTTAGCCACTCCCAGTCTCTATTTAAGCCTAAATTAATAGTATCCAATTTGCAAATGAATTCCTCAAATAAATTGGTTAGTCTCTAAGGTGCCACAAGTACTCCTTTTCTTTTTGCGAATACAGACTAACACGGCTGTTCCTCTGAAACCTGTCTTCAGACTCTTTGAAACTACTCAGTTGCCAATTGGCATCACTTTAAAAATGCTCCCCAAAGCCTCTGTGTATTTTCCAACAATTAATTGTTCCCCCCAGGGCTTTGCAGACTATAGCAACACACGGACACATTACACTAGAAAAGCTGTATTTGCCACTGCTAAAATCATCACTACAGTTGGTTTGATTTCCTTCATACAGAGAGTTTGTCAAGGAAGGAGGGTCGATGGAGGCTGGCCCACAACTCCCGCACTGTGTTCATGACAGAACGTGCTCCAGAACTCCTTGTCTGATTAACTGTTCGCATTTCCAGCGTGGTAAAAAATGCTGAAAAACAAACACACCTTTCTGAGTTCAAGGCAGACCTATTATGTGAAGACAGCCAGTTCTGCATTTGTAGCGGATACTTGTCTTGACCAGAAGCACCAGGCTGCATGTTAGGGACAGCTGGAGAGGGCAGCAGAGCTAGATTTGCGCAGCTACTGAGTCCTGTGTGGAAGCAGTAAGCGCTCCATGTGAAAAACGACTATCTGCTCCACTTACTACTGGGTGGACAGTGGCCGCAGTCAGGGAAGCAAGCATTCCGCCCATAGTAATGGTTTCAAACCAAAAACCAGAATTACACCCCCCCCTTCACTATTGGGCATACACCACGGTGGGCAAGCTTTTTGGCCTGAGGGCCACAGGGGGGTTGCAAAACTGTATGGAGGGCCGGGTAGGGAAGGCTGTGCCTCCTCAAACAGCCTGGCCCCTGCTGCTGCCGCCCCTTGTCCCCTGACCGCCCCCTGGGACCTCACCCCCTATCCAACTCCCCATGCCCTGACTGCCCCGACCCCTATCCACACCCACACCCGCAACAGGCCCCTCAGGACCCCACCCTCCCCATTCCCTGACCGCCCCACCCCATCCCCTGCCTGCCCCCCAGAACCCCCTGCCCCTTATCCAAGCCCCCGCTCCCCACCCCCTTACCATGCTGCTCAGAGCTGCAGGAGCTCGCAGCCACACCGCCGTGCTCCCCGGCAGGAGCAGCGGGCCAAAGCACTAGCAGAGCGGCGAAGTGAGCCTGCGAGGGAGGGGGGACAGCAGAGGAGGGGCCAGGGGCTAGTTTCCCCAGCCAGGAGCTTGGCCATAGTTTGCCCACCTCTGGCAAACACATGGGCAGAGCCTCAGCTGCTGTCAACTATTACAGCTCCGCTGACTTCCACGAAGCTATGGTATTTTACTGCGGCTGTGCCACCCTGAGTACATCACAACGGGCTCTGGGATCCTTCAGAATCAAGAGCGCTCACTGGACGGTCAGTTAGCCCCCCTCATGCCTTTGCCCAGAACAGCATTAGGTGAAGGATTCCAAAGAAAGCGCTCCCCGCTGGGGCAGGAGAGTATGATTGTCTCAACTTGTTCCTACACAGGTAAGGGTTCAGTCATTCGGTTTTAGTAACAGTCCTGCTCTCTTGGCATAGGTACCTGGCTATTCTTCTTCAACAGAATTGTTGTACCGTCGTCAATCTCAAATTCTCCATGATCCTTTAAACACCGAACCTAAAGCAATGAGAAAAAAGCACCTCCTTCAGCATCAGCAGATCAGGAGATGCACAGGGACTGGAGTACCAATGTCACAGGCACAGAATGCAATGTGTGTGAACCAATCACTATGTACTCTTGTTGCATGTCACCTGGGCTGTGTTTAAGCCAGACACACTCACGCCAGCCCAACAGCATCTCACATAAAACAGGGAACTGATATGCAAAACCAAGTAACCTCAACCTTCGTTTGTGTAAGTTCCCTGTTTGGCCCACCTTGCTTAACACCAGCACCCCCATCACATTATGTATCTCGCAGTAGAATGCATTAAGGGGTGATCAGGAGTCTCTATGGAGGTGAGGGAATAAAAGCAGGAGCACGGCGAGGAGGAGTCCTAGAACCAGAGGGCGTATTGAGCACATTCGGACCAGAGTTTAAGGGAAAAGGAAGAGCAGAGCCTCCTGGCATTCAGCCACTACCTGCACATCTTCAAACTCTTTGCTGCACAAGCTACCAAGTTGTCAGGTGTTGCCATGCAGTTTTATGTCTTCAAAAAGAGTTGAATGTGGCTCACAAGTCTTGTGTTGCCAGCCTGGGTATGCGCTTTTAATATATAGCTCCACGCACAAAGCTCCTTCAGAAGCCCCAGCCTTGCACTTACTTCGATGTATAAGCTTTTGGGAGGTTTCATGTCCTGTGTAAGGTCCAGCCCTTCCTCTCCTCCTAGAGACCTCATGTAGGTAGCAAGAGACTTTTTATACTGATTGAACCACTCCGTCTGTAGACATAAGAACACTAAACTAAACCAACAATCCGACAGGGACACAGGAGCTCAATAATGAGCACACACGCCTTAAAAACACAGCTTGTAGCCACTTTAAAATATTTTTCACTGCCTTTTTATATCTTCCAGTAGAACTTCCATTCTACCCTGAGTATTATACAAGTCAAGTTTATAACAAAGCTGGGCTTACTTCTTCAGCGGACATGTGAAATCGGAGGTCATTTGGCAAGACACTGCCATACTCCCACCTGAGGGCTCGGATCCGAAGCAACCGGTCATACCTGGAAGAATTAATCGGGGATTAAAACCACTGTGTTCTCAATCAGAAACAGAGGTATTAATCCAAAAAGGAATCTGAACTCAATCCCCTACTTATACCAGATCTGATGCTCATGAATAAAGCATAAAACCCAGTTATTCTAGTCTTCCCTCCATAGGCCTACCAAAATCATATATTTAAATAAAAACAAGGCCCCTATAGAATAAGGGAAAACAATGATACAGAGACCTTCCTGTATTTATTTTACTACATTTGTCAGGTGCTTGGATACTATTGGGAAAAGAATCAAGGCCAGAATTTTCAAGCGTGGCCTCTGATTTGTGTGCTTAGTTTTTAAAACATACATTGCAGCTTGATTCTCAGAGGTGCTGGGCACCCACAACTCCCACTGAAGTCCCTGGGACCAGCAAATGCTCAGCACCCTTCGAAAATTAGGACCACGGCATCTCAAGCTGGACACACAAAATCAGAGGCAGCTCTTGAAAAAGCAGCTCTTTGTCTACATAACAGACCATACTCCGGTCACAGACAAGTGCTGTGAAAGCAAGATACACCTTCCATTAGAAACTTACAGATATGCAACAACACATCGTCGATTTCGCAGCAGAGAACAATGACGAAATTTGATTGTTCGGATTAAGTCACTTCGTCCTGATTTAGCCTCATTTCTGGTAATAATACAAAGGGAAACAGTATTACATTACACTGAGACCAAGAAACTATCAAGCATATATTCTTCCTACTATTTTTCCCAAAACTACACATTTACAAAGCTCAGATGCAGTTTAGTTTAGAATTTCTCTGGCCCTTTGCTCCCACCTCACCACAATCTCGTTTTTATCCCACTAGGAGCTACATACTAATGTTCAGCTAAGTAAATAATCTCTTGACCACATTGGCTAGTTTGCTAGCTGTTTTGTGTGTTCACAGAACTAATTTTTCTGGCACTGGGTGATTTTGTTCTTGGAAAATACAAAACAAAAAAAGAACAAAGGCATCCAAATAATTGATCCTTGCTGCTTATCTCATGCACATGCCTCACTCCATTTTAAAACATATTTTATTAAATACAACTGAAACAGTGACTTTTTTTTCAATTTTGTAAAAAAGTGACATTTAACAATGCACCCCCTTTCCTATATTTGGGGATGCAACCTTAGGTCAGTAAGTGCATTATGTACAGCTGAGTGAATCATCTATGGTCACGCAGTTTCACATCACAGATACGCTGAAAATGAAATTTGATTAATAGCAGAGCGATTTTTTATTCGGTCCAGTCCAAACTTTTGGACGTTTTGGTGAACATGTTTAATTCAGCTGCTTGATAAATAATTGGATGCAAAGCTGTTCTTAAAGATGCAGCATGCTGGTCCCTTCAGTTAAAGCCCGAGTTTCTTATCCACAATTCCAGGCCTTCCAATGAAGACCCTGAACAACAGGAAAGAGGTCACATCCCTTGTACGTCAGCCTTTTTTTTTTAAGCCCCCTGCCCCAAAAATTCAGAGCTTCTTTAATTATCATAAAAGAGACAAAAAATGCACAAACTCTAATGGCCTCTTTAACACACGTGAATACAAAGAGGAACATTCCTGTGTTTGGTTTCAGAGCAGCAGCCGGGTTAGTCTGTATCCGGAAAAAAGAACAGAAGGACTTGTGACCCCTCAGAGACGGCTATTACCAGCAGGAGAGTGAGTTTGTGTGTGGGGGGTGGAGGGTGAGAAAACCTGGATTTGTGCTGGAAATGGCCCAACCTGATGATCACTTTAGATAAGCTATTACCAGCAGGACAGTGGGGTGCAGCAGGACAGTGGGGTGGGAGGAGGTATTGTTTCATGGCCTCTGTGTGTATATAAAGTCTGCTGCAGTTTCCACGGTATACATCCGATGAAGTGAGCTGTAGCTCACGAAAGCTCATGCTCAAATAAATTGGTTAGTCTCTAAGGTGCCACAAGGCCTCCTTTTCCATTTATTTGGGCATAAGCTTTCCTGAGCTGCAGCCCACTTCATCGGATGCGTTCATTTCTAAATAAGAGGCTTGCTTTCTCTTGCTTCTGGTGCGTAGCCCGCTCGCCAGTCTTTCGTCCAAGACACCCACGCTTACACATCAGCCTGGTTCTGTTCATACAAAGCTTTCATCTCCTCAAGAACTTGCCGGAGTCCATCGTCCTGCAAGAGAGGAGTTCGGGGATTTCAGCAGGTAGTCGGGGCCAGCACGGGGGTCAGCGGAGCCGCCCGCGCCGGGAACGGGAGCGAACTCCCGAGCCCCGCAGGGCAGAGCAGGGCAGGGCAGGCGCGGCCCCGGCCAGGAAAGGGGGCAGCGGGCGGGCCGGGCCCAGGGCCCCCGGGCCCAGGGCGGCGGGACGGAGCCCGCCGGGCGCCTCGCGGGAGGGGAGCGGTCTCCGGAGGCCGGCTCGGGCCCCGCCCGGGGGCCGCGGGAAACGGGGGCGGGAGGCTCGCCGGGGCCCCCGCGCAGGGGCGAGCCCGGGCCCGCCAGCGGGGAGCGGGGGGAGGGGCTCACGTGGAAGGCGGGAAGGTGCCCGTCAGCGGCGCGGTGCAGCCCCCGCACCAGCTCCGCGGCCCGCTCGCCGAACATGGGAGCGGCGGACCGAGCTGGGAACCGCGCCCTTTGCCCGCGGGAGCGCGCCGCCGGCCGGCGCCGCCAATGGGAGCGGCGGGAGAGGGTGGCCACGCCCCTTCCCTTACAGACGCCGGCGAGGGACAAACTGCCCCGTCCAGCCCTTCGTAACGCCCCGCCCCATGAGTCCGGGCCCCGCCCTCCTGGGTGCCGAGGGGCGGGGCGTTCCGTCGCCCCGCCCACGCCCTGCGCTGAACCGGGCCCCCCCGCACCTGTCCTAGGTGTGGCCAGCCCTGAGGCCCGTGCCAGGCCGCTGCAGCCCCCCGTTCCCGCCCGGCTGGTGGCGGGGCTGGCTGGAAGACGAGCTCTGTGCAGCCCCCGAAGCGGCCGGCATGTCTCTGCAGCTCCTCGCAGGAGGGACGGCCGGGGGGCTCCGCGTGCTGCCGTCACCACGAGCTCCGGCTCCGCAGCCCCCATTGGCCGGGAACCGCAGCCAATGGGACCTGCGGGGGTGGTGCCTGCAGATAGGGGCAGCGTGCGGAGCCCCCTGGCCCCTCCACCTAGGAGCTCCAGGGACATGCCGGCCGCTTCGAGGGAGCCCCCCCCCGAGGTAAGCGCTGCCCTGCACCCCAACCCCCTGCCCTGAGCGCCCCCCAGGCCCAACCTGCTGCTGCTCCTTGGGTGCGGTGGCCAGAGACTGCCCCAGCAGCGGCCAGTGCGGCTGGCCCAGGGGCTGCCCGAGCAGCCAGCCGCACCGGCTGCTGCAGAAGTCACAGAGGAATCCGTGATCTCCGTGACGGACGTGGACCCTTAATCATGCTGAAATGTATGTGGCAACATTATCGGTAAAGTGATGAACATAAGCTACAATTATGACCGAAATGTGTTTCCCAGACAAGTCTGTGGAGGGAGTAAACCTGTTTCTCAAAGACAAAGGACAAGCTGACACCTCTAGCCAGGTGCAATCAAACCTGATCAGCAATCACTGGTCAAGTGGCCATTCTTTGGCAGTGAAGGACGGACAGGAACAGATCGATTTGCGTTTTAACAAACAACAAGAACACAGAACCTCTGTCCCTGTTCCCCATGAGACTCCATGGCTCCATTCTTGCAGCTGGAAGGAACTTGACCAAGGCGGAACACTCAGGAAAATGCATTTCAAAGGGTGACTGGACTGTAAAAGTGAGGGACAAAACACCCTGGGTACAGTCTCTTTCTTTATCTCTCACTATGTCTTTTACCAAGACAAATGAACCAGACTTTGGACTTTGGGAGGAGGTTTGACCTGAGAATTTAGTCAGCCATGTTGCTAGGAGCATGTGATAAGGTTTTTATCTTGAACCAGGTTATTAAGTCTTAGCTACTAGGAAGGATTTTATCTTTATTTATCTTGTAACTATTTCTGACTTTAATATCTTGTACTTGTACTCACTCAAAATCTCTCTCTCTGTAGTTAAATAAGCTTGTTTATTCTTTAATAAAAACTAATCCAGGATTGTGTTTAAAATGAATTGTTTGGTAACTCCGATTAAAGTAGCAAACCATTGTACATTGACAACGGACCTCTAATATCTGAACTGATCACAACAGCCATTTTTGAGGAAAATTTAGGGTCACCCTGCAAATAGTAACCAAGGCGTCTGGAAGCCAAAGCATGGCTGGTGTATAGCTGGCAGGCTACAACTATACACAGACACTCAGGATTTGACCTGCGCCTGCTTGCTGTTTGAGAGTGGCCCAGGTTGGAAGTTACAACAGCAAAGCGTTGTGAGGCACCCCAAGATGCATGTTGACACAACCCTTCACTGATCTGGATTGCACCCCGGAATGTGATAACACATCCTTGCAGGGGATGAATTCTGTGATTATTTAGGTCTAGGTCAGGGGTGGGCAAACTTTTTGGCCCAAGGGCCACATCGGGTTTGCAAAATGGTATGGAGGGCTGGGTAGGGAAGGCTGTGCCTCCTCAAACAGCCTGGCCCCCGCCCCTTATCTGCCCCCCTCCCACTTCCCGCCCCCTGACTGCCCCCCTCAGAACTCCCCACCCATCCAACCCCCTGCACCTTGTCCCCTGACCACGCTCTCTCGGGACCCTCCACCCCTAACCACCCCCTAGAACCCTATCCAAGCCCCCCTGCTCCTTGTCCCCTGACTGCCCCCTCCCGGGACCCCCATCCCTAATTGCCCCCCCAGGACCCCACCCCATATCTAACCCCCCCTGCGCCCTGTCCCCCCCCCCGAGACCCCACCCCCTATCCAACCCCCCCTGTTTCCTGACCGCCCCCCTCCCCGAACCTCCGCCCCATCTGACACCCCCCCCATCCCCTGACTGCCCACCAGGACCTCTTGCCCCCCTCTTCGCTCAGAGCAGCAGGACAGGTTTGTTGGAAAGCCTCGGAGCTCAGGAGACGGGCAGGACGGTCCCATGGGCCGGATGTGGCCCGCGGGCTGTAGTTTGCCTATCTCTGGTCTAGGTCCTACAAGATTATCAGCATGGGTGCAAAAGGTTCACCCATCTGGTTCTTGTTGAGGTCTTTAATCTGGAATACTATTGTCACATAAAATTTTATTTTAGAAATTTTTGCTTAGATAATGGCAGTGGGCCCATAGAAAACTACTGAACCGGTAGTATGACTACTATGAACACCTTCCTAAAGTCTCAAAGACTTTGATTCTGGATATGGTGTGATAACAAATAAACAATTAGAATTGACAAGATATATTCTTTGAGAATCCTGAGATCCTTTTAAACTGTGTTCTTCTAGGCAGTGCTGGAGAAGTGTATTGAATACAATCTCTTTAAAAGAATCTTCATACAATTTTAAATGGTCTTTTTTGTTTATTTGTATGATAGGAACGAGACAGGAGAGGAGGAAAGTAGTCTTTTTTTAGCTGTTTATCATCTGTAGTTAAAATATGACCAAAGCAAGATTATATGCGTAACTTTTCCAAATCTATATTAAGATTGCTGTGTTAAAATGTAACTGTACTGGAAAAAAACAAGTGACAAATATGTCCACAAGTCTTTAATTTAAATGCAGTAACTTTTCAGATAGCTGCAGAGCTAACTGGGATATAAAGTCTCCAGCTGTGACAAGGAAACTTGTATTACCAGGCAGAGTGATTTGAAAGATATGAGAGAGGCAAAGTCGGTGAGGTAATATCTGGTGAAAGAGACAAGCTTGTCTCTCTCACCAACAGAATTTGGTTCAGTAAAAGATATGACCTCACCCACTTTGTCTCTCTAATATTCTGGGACCAACACGGCTACAATGTTGAAAGATAATGGTGGGAATATGAAGTAGAAGGTGATGTTTAATGATTGTGCAGGGAACTAGGAGAACATAAAGAGCGGCCATACTGGGTCAGACGCTGCTCCATCTTGCCCAGTATCCTGTCTTTAACAATGGCCCACACCAAATCTTGAGAGGGAGTGTACAGAACAGGGCATTTATGGAATGATTCACCCCCTCTTCCACTTCTGGCTTCTGGTAATCCAGTTTAGGGTCTCCCCAAGCAAGGAGTGCATTCCTTAACATGTTGGGTAATAGGCATTGATGGACCTATCCTCCATTAACTTATCCAGGTCTTGTTTGAGCCTAGCTACACTTCTGGCAATCATAACATCCCGTGGCAATGAGTTCCATGGTTAGGTGTGTGTTGCATGAAAAAGTACTTCCTCTTGTTTGTATTAAACCTGCTGCCTATTCATTTCCTCAGGTGACCCCTGGTTTTTTGTATTGCGTGAAAGGGAAAAGATGATGGGGTCTACGGATCCGACACTAAGGGTAAGGGAGTTGTGGAGCACTATTGGGCCACAAAGGCCCTGCGCCTCAGCAGCTGCAGACCATGCTCCAAATGGAGGGCCTGCTTCAAAGGGGACTCTGAGAGGCAAGCAGGGGGTGAGTGAAGGAGAAACTGTCTGCAGGAAAGCAGCCAGGCTGTAGCTTCTGGGATAGAGGGATCTACGGGGAAGAAACTGGACTGTGGGTAAGACCCAATGGAGAGGCCAAGGGCTTGACCCCTTCTCTCCTCCCCCTTCTTTCTGACAAGGTGGAGCAATGAATTGGGTACTAAAATGTGAGCTGGGAAGCCCCAACTGACTGTCTGAATTATTGAGTTTGTTTGAGCAATCATCTGCTGAGAGGGAAGCTGAGTGCTAGGACCATGCCCCAAACTGAAGAGAGAACAAAAGAAGTAGGAAGTGGCCCAGGGGAGGCTGGCATGTTGTACCAGCCAGAGGAGACTGAGCCTCCCCTTCGGGGGCCCTGAACCGGGACCTGGTGGAGTGGGAGGGCCTGGGTCCCTCTACCCTTCTCCCCCCTGCAGCTGACCAGGGGACTGTGGGGAGCACTGGGGAACAAGGGATTGTAATAGCTGCCAGATTGCCCTCAGGCCCTCAGATTGCCTGGCAAGACCATCCCAAAACTAGGAGACTGAGCCGTCGCCTGTGAACTAGGCCTGCTGTCTCTGAGTGAAGCCCACTACACTAAATATCATTTTCACTTTCTCCACACCATTCATGATTTTAAAGACCTCTATCATAGTCACCTTCCTTAGTCGTCTCTCTTCAAAGGTGAACAATCATAATCTTTTAAATCTTTCTAATCTTTCCTTGTGTGTAATCTGTTCTGTGCCCTGGATCATCTTTGTTGCCCTTCTCTGAACTTTTCTAGTTCCACTATATCCTTTTTGAGATGAGCAACCAGAACTGGACACAGTATTTAAGGTGTGGGTGTACCATGGATTTATATAATGACATTATGATATTTTCAGTCTTATTTTCTATCCCTTTCCTAATAGTTCCTAACATATTGTTAGCCTTCTTGATCATTGCTGTGCATTGAGTGGAAGTTTTAATAGAATTATCTATGATGACTCCAAGATCTCTTTCCTGAGGGGTAAGAGCTAATTTAGAACCATCATTGTCTATGTATACTTGGGATTATTTTTTTCAATGTGCATTACTTTGCATTTATGAGTGCTGAATTTCATCTGCCACTTTTGTTGCCCCGTTACTCAGTTTTGTGAGATTCTTTGTAACTCTTCAGAGTCAGCTTTGGACTTAACTATCTCAAATAATGATATATTG